GGACCAGTGCAAGTAAAGTTCCCTCCCTCTGTGCTTGTACTGGTGCCCGCAAACCACCGGCCGACGATCCTTTCAAGCCCGCCGCCAATTGGCTGCCCATGGCGTTTTTTTCTTCTTCGCAGTGGCACGACCCGGTGGCTGCTGTTGTGGCATTTTTCTAGCATTTTCGCAATCCCTTATGCGGTACTTGCTTTGTTGCGCCGAGCTCATTCCTAGCAAGGTGGTAGCCACGGCGGCGCCCCTTATCGCAAACCGTTCTCAGCGCTCTGACCCCTGTGAGCCGGGTATGATTTCAAGCTTACAAGCATCAACGCACAAAAAATACAAAATTTTCAATTCAAAATTTAACAAGAATAAAGGCAAAATTGGAAAACGAGCTATCAAAGGGGGGAGACGGGAGGAGTACCTGAACCAAGATGAAAGAAAAAAACTTTTCTCGGTCATGCTTAACCATGACAGCCAGTCAGTCCATTGACACGAGCTGACACCCGCCGCGGCATGAATTGCGGCTGCGCAAAAACAGCCCGTGGATAGCATAAACGCACATGTACTACTATTTTTTTCCCTCTTCCTCCACAGTCTTTTTTTTACTTGCTCAACTGTTTCATTCGTTCGATTCCAGTGATTCCTAGACCGTGGGGCAGCTAGGCGGAATCAACGGCTCAGGGCAATGGCACAATCCGCTCGCAGAATCGCCTGCTGGGCTGCACAGCCATCCAGTCCAGCGAGCACGTTTCCCAGCGGCCCAAACGCTATATTCAATGCTCGCACCACCAACGATCCAATCAGCGCCGCCGCCGCCCGCGGATTTGGGGCCACGGGGGGACAAGTTTGGTTTGAAAGGACCGACTTATTACGCAACTGTGATGCGAGGCAGGGCAAAGACGAAGACGGAATTAGTTTGTTCTCTCTATCCAGGTAGTTATTATTGTAGGGCTAAGGATCATGGATTCTAGTAGTTTTGTTTTAATTAATCTTTTCTAGTTTTGCTTTCAACATCCTACTAGGTTTCCGATCCATCAAGGTCTTGGTACTACTTGCTGCTAGGGCACATCGGCACCCGGACTTTGGAAAACAAAAGACGGAACAAACTAGCAGAAACCAGCGCGAGCGAGCCATCACGGTGTTTTCCCAGTGTACCTACTCCGTCCCCGCTGCTCCGTCCGTCCGCTCACCTTGATGCCCGTCCGTCAATGACGCACCGTCAATGTAATGCTGCCAACTTTCCTCGTACTCCGAGGCGTCGTCATTCTCGGTCGTCCGAATTCATCTTCTCTTTTCCCTGTCATCAGGCTAAACACTTACAGTTACCTCTCCCATACTACCTACTCATATCGTACGAGTACCACTTCTTCTCTATTCCCCAAGTACCGGTGCCATCAGGGTCCCTGTGCCTGTCCGAGTCCTCCGCGCAAAACTCTCTCGTTGTGCCTGTCCTGTCCCTTGTCCTCGGCATTCCCCTGAACTAACCCGAAATCCGGACCAAGTTTGCAAGCGCATGAATCCCTTCAGCTCCGTTTCCGTTTTCTCGTTGTTGGTTGGATAGCCGAAACGCACTGATGCAGACCGGCAGGCTTCCAGACATGCAGCTCCGCGAACGTGATTCGCCTCGACCTCGAGTCTCACCATGGCCCTACTATCGTCTGCTAGTCTGGACGGTGATTAATTGCCCAGACACCAGCCATGGGCTATTGCGACGGCAGGCCTTACTAACGTCTATTCATCTCAACATCTTGACTCGTCTGTGGGGTTGCTGTAGCTACAGTTACTGCTATCTCAAAGACGCATTGGATGCTGCAAACTTTCTCTCCCCCAGCTCCGGATGCTCTTCGACGGACCCGGACCTCGCTCCAATTGACTCTATACTCGTATTAGCAAAGCCTGTTGGCGCAGAGCTGGGCCCTGGACAACACGGGAGGGAATGGAGCTCTACTGAGTTGCCACCGCATCGCATCGTCTTAGCCTCAACCACATGGTGTCTGCCAGTCAGACTTTGCCGCCCAAACAAAGGCATATTCTCGATTAGGGCTGACGGGCCACAACATCCGGATCCCGTTGTCGCATAGAAATTAACTCTTACTTGCTTCCCGTCTCTCCTAATAAGCACTCCGCTTCTCTCAACCGCCTGCATCTACGGTATATACAGTACAGTACATACTCGTACGAGCACTCCGCAACGAACAATGAGCTGTTGTTCCCCCTTGGATCTCCGTTCTGCCTAGTTGCGCTGAATATCCACCTACGGCGTGCGGCTTGTTCGGTTCTGGCCACATTCGGCGCCGAACTTGGCGACTCGTTCTCCAGACTCCAGGCTCGTGGGATGGCAAGCCAAGGAGCCAACATTCGCCTAGGCGCGGGTTTTCGCTCTCTCGGCCCACACACAGGGAGGAGGGAAAACGCAAAAATAAGTTCAGCTGTGCATCGTACCTTGGCCCAGGGGAAAATAAACCTTGAAGCCAGACAAGGGAAACCCATAAAAAGGAAAAGAGAGAAAAAAAATTGTCTGGCTTATTTCTCACCTTTGTTCCATCTGCCATTGATAGCCGCGGCTGTCTTCATTCTCATTCTGTGGAGAAAACAGCTTCAAACTTTTCCCCCTCGGCCGGTTGAGAGAATTGCTGGGATGATCCTGACCAATCCAGCGTCCATTGCCCAATCATTCCACCAGACCTTGTACTATCAGGAGATGCTCGACGCATGAGAAAGACAGTTGCGAGGCCATTGCGTTTTTCCCCCAGTCGCCACAATCGCGAATACTACCTCACAATTACGTGTAATTGTACTACCGTAACAGGTACATGTGCTCCATCTACTCGCACAGTTGGGCGCCATTGTGCCGGCTCGACTCCATCGTGAGTATCGTTAATATGGAGAAGCTGCACAGGCGAAGCTGCCCGTTTCCCCCGGCATACCGCCAGACGGTCAAAGCGGCTCCGTTTCCAATGGCCGTAACTTGGCGTCCCCTTGCTCCTCCAAAGATTGCGAGTTGCAGTTCGTGATGGGCATCGTGCCATTCCAACACCGCCAATTGCGATTGAACTGTCTGTCTTGCCCGCCGTAACAGGGATTAACGGGACGGGGTTTCTGCCAATCAAGACCTCACACGCAATTGAGTGCAAAGTGACGCTCTGCATTGCCTCCCAACCTCCCATGCCCTGGAAGTGCTGCTTTGGCTTCATCTGGCATAGACGGGGTCCTGGTTGGAACGGCAAAATGGAAACGAATAGGAAAAGAAGCGGTGGCAATGACTTGGCATCTGGCTCCCCCAGTCGTCAATATTAGCCGTCCGTCGTTGCAATCTGATGCCCGCTTCTAGATGCCAACCCCCGCATTCTCATCCTTGCTCGGGCTTCAAAGGAAGCTGATGCAAAAGCAGTGCAGGCTGAGGCCATCAGAAGCAATGTCCGTGCTTCCCGTCAGCTTTGTTATGCGCATATGCATGTCTCAGACAGAGTGTCGACAGCTGTCAAGAGCCATTCAGCTTTGTCCGAGCTGTGACTTGTATGTTGACACGCATAACCACTCAAATCCACTTGGGAGAAGAGGCTACACTCTTGACACTTTGTAAATGTGTCGATATAGCGTCTTCCTCGCCAAGCTTTTAACAAGCGTCGAAGAAGACCGACTATTGCCCTGGTGGACCCATTGTGAGCATCGTATCTGTAAAAAGGGCACTTTTGTATGCGAAATACGGGGTACCCGGCCATCTTTTTTCTTTCTTTCTTCCTTCTTCTTCCCCTCTGTTTTCCAGAATGCCAGCCAACACACGGCATGCCACGACACCAGCGTTCCCTTGCGCCTTGTCCACACGAGCCTGCGCAGAGTGATCCCTAGAAGAAAGATGGCCTAACTGGTAATCTCAGCGGCATGGGGCTAGTCTGGCATTATCCCCGCCGAATGGATCTGCGCGGGATCGGTCCGGACGCTGCCACCCCGTTTGCCTAGCTAGCAACTGCACGAGTAATGCAGTCCCTTGGGCCCCTGGCTGCATAAATGCTCGTCTCCTGACAGGCATCCGGCCAGTTTATCTGGTTGCCGGCAAGTTGCGTCCCTGTCTTTCCGCGGGACGAAAGAGTTCGGGTATTTGAATCGTGCTTGTGTTTAAAAAGTCTCCTATCTCTCGCGTATGGAGGAGTATTAGGGCTTTAGGTCTCAGGGTTACTCACAGAAATTGAAATTAATAACCCGCAGTGCTCTGACTTTCCTCTTGCTGAGATGGATATGGATAGTGTTGTTTTTGGCATTGAGTCAGTATGTTGAGGGGATCTCCTAGATGGAGGCTCGGTATTACCCACCGTGATGGGAATGGTTGTGTTGATTCTATAGACGTAGGGGGCTGCTACTGATACTCCTATACGCAGATGTGAATATCTGGATCAAGGCGTCTTATCTATGTAGCTTCCATCCAAGGCAACAAGAATATTGTATGAAAAATGGGTGAACATCTAATAAACCACGTCCCCGATAGATGCTCCACCTAATATGGCGATATGGCTTGTGGCGCTACAAGTCTGGTTTATTCTCCGCATCCTACTGAGACTGAGTTTCCCCCCTGAGCGAGATCGGAGCTCTCATGGCATTTACATTTGGTCTTCCTAATAGTTTACATTCCAGTGTTGACTCGGTTTCTTCTTCCGCTTGCGGTTGATGCTTCCTAAGCCCTAGTCCAGCCATATCAAAATATTCGATTAATACACTCTTCCTAAATCTCTTCGCTTCCTCATAAATCCGAAACTGAAGCATAGTATATACCAAGCTATCCTTTATCGTTCTATTAGGGAGTGGCTGGTCAACATTCCGAGTTGGCTAGCCAGCAACCCATTCGCAGATTTGAAGCCAGCAAAATGTACCAGATGCTACCTAGTAGAAGAACATGGTTATAGCAGCAGATACTCGAAGAAGGTAGTAACAGCAGAAGATACCCAAGGAACCGTGTATCCGCTACGTAGTAGATGATATTTTAGATGTTGAAAATGCTCATGTTCAATAAACTCATGCAATCATCGAGCCGAGGGTGCCCTCTGACGGTTGGCCTCGTCGAGTTTTGCAATCCATTCGTCAAGGGGGAGGTCGAAAGACGGCAAGCCTGGAGAGCTGGCATTTGTAGACTTGCTTGATCGAGCTGTTTCCGTTGCATTGGCATGCCAAGAGTCGGTGTCCTGTGCGGCAATTGAGTGATAGTCCTGCGCGATGCATTCGCCCAGCTCCATATCCGGAGGGCATCGTGTCTCCAAGGTGGCAGCTACTCGAAGAGCGCTCAGTAGCGATGTTTCGTATAGATGCTTGAGCCGTTGGATGCCGTCGTTTGGCTTCAGGAACCGCGTTACAATAGGTCTTGAGACGTGCCATTCTTTCCAGATGGTTCTCACGGCCCCGAGATGGCCTAGCAGAGTCATATATGATTCGTACATTTCATATGCCCCGTCTGTTGGGACTTGACTCTGTTCGCTGAGATACAGTAGGGGAAGCGAGCGCAAAGAATCACTTGAGAGTGTGTGATTCTCATCAATGCCAGTCAGCAGCTGTAAGAGCAGTTGTCGATCGTGAACGGCGTATAAGCCGCCTTCCCCTGAGTTCCCCAGATGCTGGGCGAATGTCGTGAGAGTTTCGGCTACGTCGTTCGACGATGCCGTATGATGCTCCCATGTGCAGTTCACAAAGCCTCTATGCAGCCATTCAGATGTCGCTCCAGTAAGTCCCGCTGCTGCAGAAAGTCGAAGTGCCAGTCCGGTCAGAGCAGGTGGAATAGCAGCACCGTGAGATGACAATCTTGCAGCCAGATTCCCAATGAAGCCCAGTATTTCCAGATGGACTACAGCCTTTTCTGGATGCTCACTGAAGACATTGAAACAGGCGTTGCGTATTTCCCGGGCCACGTTTAGTGTGCCTTTTGATTCATCGTTGACCCCCTTTGTCTTGGGGAAATAGAGGTTGGCTGCCTCTCCAGAACTCAGAGCATGAAACACCAGCCGGCGGATGCCAGTGATTGACGTTGAATTCTGTAGAGCAGTTGCCAGCTGAGATGGGGATAGTGGCTGTTCGCTTCGATTCGTTATAGACCGCTTGAGGCTCTTGAACCGTAGCAACATCCACTCAAGAAGGACTTGGTCATCTTGCAGCGCATGGGGAGGGATGCCGTTTTCTCTACAGAGCGTCTCAAGAAACCTAGGTTCTTGATTCAAGGTGAGCCTATTGAGAGTAGGTGGTGCTTCTGAGGTTGTCGTGCTCATGTCAATTTGGTTGACGGTTCCTGGTTGGCAGCGAAGAGCTGCTGAGAGAACGTCATGTGAGGTGAGTCTCCAGATATTTGCCGGGTTCGACAAGACATCATCAGCCTTCCTCCGTGACTCGTCGATTTGGTCTCGCAGCTGCTTCAACTGATGCTGAACATTGAGTCTCTTCGTGTCAACGTCCCATTTCCTCTCCAGGCGCTCCTCATCGGCCTGGTCTGCCGGGCGGACAAACCGGCTTCCGTCAGCGTCGAGGTCCAGCAATAGATCCGGCATCTCAAAGAAGTCATCCCGAACGGGAATGGAGTCGGGAGACTTTGGTGGCCGCTTGTTGGATATTGTGTAATAGACCTCGTTGTTCTTGTCGAGTCTCCGCACAAAGGCCTTGCAACGCTTCTGATGATGCGCCACAGACTGATGAGCTGAGCTTGTTAGCCGAAGCGTCCAGGGCCATCTTGAGCGTATCATGTTGGGCGAGGTTTCAATGGGGGCTGATGCTCCATAGGCCTTGGATTTTCCAGCTGTTTCTTCCTCCTTTGGGTGGTTTGAGATGAGAGCAAATTACGGTAGCATCGCTCAGTCGATGAAAAGGGTACATGGCGTGTACTGCTCACGCGAGCCAAACTACAGCGGCTTCCGAGGTACCTATTTTACCCCAGATTCCGCTAATGTTCAGCGGATAATACCCACTGGATCTCCCACTAACGAACCTGTGCTCAAGCGGAATTGCTGCTTCCATTTTGCTGGCAGCCGGAAGCGCAGCCACGTAAATCCGAGCCTTGGCCCATTCAAACCTTCGAGACCAAGGCGCCTAAAAGGTTTGTTCAACCAAAACTACATCTTCGTCGTCGCGGAAACCATCGCTCCCACCCAGGCTTTATCTTTTTATCTCTGCGCCGACTGCTTCCAGCAATATCTCAATTCTATCACCAGACAAACATCAAGGAAAACAACAAGAAAAAACACATCATCATCCAGAAATGGCGCCACCAGCGAAGAAGAGACGTACCAGGGGTAACGCTGCTGCTGCCATCGCAGCGGAGCAAGCACAAGAGGAATCAAGGGCCGAGGAATCAAGGGCCGAGGAATCAAGGGCCGAGGAATCAAGGGCCGAGGAATCAAGGGCCGAGGAATCAAAGGCCGAGGGGCCAAAGGTTGAAGAACCAAATACCGAAGAACCACAGCCCGTCGAAACAGCTCCCGAACCGACCGTAGACGCGAAAGAAGAACCAGATGCTGCAGCTAAGGCGCAAGACCGCATGGCTCGATTCAAAGCTCTACAGGCCCGTGCCAAGAAATCATCAGAAACCAACTTCAAGGAGGCAACTCTGGAATCCCAGCGCCTCTCGACAAATCCCAGCGAGCTCACAGCCCTGCATCGGAGACACGCAATTGCGTCCCACAAGCTGCTCAAGGCAGACACTGAAGAGGCTGGCGAAGACTTTGAGCGCAAGCGGGCGTGGGACTGGACTGTGGACGAGAGTGAAAAATGGGATAAGCGCATGAAGAGGAAGGGAGCGCACCGCGACAACAACGCCTTTCAAGATTACCATCAAGAAGCCAACAAATCCTACAAGAGGCAGTTGCGCAACGTCAATCCCGACCTGGAGAAATACGAGAAGCAGAAGATGGCTGCCATCGAAAAGGCTGCGGCATCTGGTGGCCTGGACATTGTCGAGACGGAGGATGGCGAGCTCATTGCTGTGGATAAAGACGGCACTTTTTACTCGACGGCCGACTCGACGTCTTTTACGCAAAACAAGCCCGATAAAGAAGCTATTGATCGGTTGGTCAAAGATCTTCAACGCGCAGAAGATGTCCGCCTCAAGAAGAGAAAGGAACGGATGGCGCAGAATGGCGAAGACGGAGATGTCACATACATCAACGAAAAGAACAAACAGTTCAACCAGAAGCTGTCACGCTTCTATAATAAATACACAGCGGAGATTAGAGACAGTTTTGAGCGTGGAACGATGATCTGATACGCTAACTGGGAAATATGGGCATCCTTATCGAGTTTTATGAGGCGCTGATTGGGGATACGGACTCCATGGTTGAAATTGCTTAAGGGGAGTTTTCCCTCGCCTGTTTCAGAATTATTCTGTACATATAGACGCACGAACTTTTACTTTTAATGATACATAAACTTTTTGTTTACAGCATTGACTTCCTCCAACCCTTTGACGCAAGCTCCTCAATCTGCTCAGGCTCCACGGGGCCCTTTGTTGTCTCATCCGCAAGCGCTTCGACTACGGCCTCGGCAACTGTATCAACCTGAAGTGGTTTGGTTCCAGCCGCGCCCATGAAGCCCTTGAGGACGTTTCCTGTCAAGGTATTGAATAAGGCACCAGCACCGGTTGCTGCAGCGAGACCCATTGTGATCTTGCGTGAGCTATCGTACATGAAGGGCGGCCGCATAAAGACACCGCGCATTTGAGGAAAGTTGGTGGTAATGGAGCTCTCGGCCTCTCTCTTGGTGGAGATGTACCTATGAGGTAGGACCGGTGCTCCAGCTGCGGCTGAGATGAAGCAGAAGGCGCTGGCGTTCTCGGCGGCAGCATGCTTGGCAAGTGAGATGGCGCTATCACGGTTCATGACTTCGTAGGACATCTGGTCCTTGGGGTTAGGCGGTTTGATGGTCTCGCCGGGCTGGCTATGTATGGGATCGACTCCTCGATCTCGTGCCGAGGCAAAAGCTTTTTGAAGCCCTGAGATGGGGGATTCTCGGCCGGATATGACGCCCTTGTAATCCGCCTCCAAGAGGATCCCCATGCTGTGAACGACATAGTCGGAGCCCTTGAGCAACGGCGCATACGTTGAAGGTTCGAGGATGTTGGCTCGCTCCCATGAGACCTTATGGGCCCAAGGAGGGGGCGTGGCGCTTGATGTGACGGAATCCCAACGGGGCTCTCCGGAGCGACTTTTTCATATATGTGAGCAATCGAGTTCATGAAGGGCGGCTTTAATGGGGGATACTTGTTTCTCATGATGAAACTAATCAAATAAATTGCACCGCGTGTGAATTGCTTACCTGACTGATGTCACATCCCAACCTCTAGCTACAGCATGTTTGCAGATTCGGGACCCCAAGAAGCCGTTGCCTCCACAGACGATGAGCTTCTTGGCCGCTGCTGCCATGGCCGGAATAGAATGAAAATGTGGATTATGATAAGATGGTGAGTTATAGAGAGAGAAGATTACGATGGGTAGCTGCGTTGACAAGTAAAATTGACAATTAATTGGTTATGTGAGTTAGAATTCGAGAGGATGCAAGCTCTAAAGTGGAATCAGGCCATGAGGAAGTCGATGAAATCATGCACCTACTAGGTAGCTAAGCAAGAGCTTATTAGTGCATACAAGGCTGAACAACTCTAACTACTGAAGCTTGGTCAATACGCGAGCTTGATTGGCTGAGAAATAGCGGATCCCGATGACATAACTGCAAGGCTGACAAGTGCCGTGCATTTCTCGACTTTGGTTCTTCCTCTTTTTTTTTCCCACCATCGACGCGACTCGACTGTGGCTGCGAGGCTCGAAATTTCACAACAGCATGGCGCCGTCGAATCAATTCGGAAAGCGTGTCAAGCTGACGCAGATCCGACGACCGTTTGTCGTTGGCAGCACGGCGCTTCCCTTTTCGGATTCGAATCCACGACCGCCTGGGGCGCCTGACAATCACACGCACTCATGGCAGGTTTTTGTACGGGGCATGGAGGATACAGACATCACGTATTGGTTGCGACGTGTACAGTTTAAGCTACATGAGTCTATTCCAAACTACGTGCGGAGTAAGCATCACGTTCGCTCTCTGGTGTGGTAGTGGTCTCCCGAGCTGTGTTTGCTAACTGTTGAGCAGTGGTCGAAGGAGAGCCCGGCAAGCCGTTCGTCGTCAACGAAACAGGATGGGGAGAGTTTGATATCACGATAAAGCTATATTACGTCAATGACTCGGGAGAGAAGCCGCAAACGCTGTATCATTATCTGCGCCTCCACCCCTACGGTAGAACCGAGGAGGAGAAGCAGTCCATGCTGGCGTCAAACGGCGAGGTCCGGGCCTGGAGCTATGAAGAGCAGCTGTTCAACGAGCCCTACGAAGCATTTTACCAGATCCTCACCTCTGGCGCCGTGCCCAAGGGATGGAAGCCGGCCGGCGGAAGTGGCAAGGGGAAAGGTAAGGGAAAGAACCGCGCGCCTCCGCCACTCCCCGCGCCGGACAGTGGAGATGTTTGGGAACGAACGGCCATGATTCCAAACACGAACCGGCCCGGCCAGCCGTTTAGTCGGGAGACGGAGGCCGCTGAGATTAAGAAGCTCTCGGACGCTCAGCAAAAGACGGACCAGATGGCCAAGCAGCTCCTGGCCGAGCTGAAGAAGAAGGAAGAGCAGTTGGCTCAACTCAAGGCCGAGAACGCAGCAGCAGCGGCGAAGACTTCATAGAAAGGAGGAACGCCATCAATGCCGCGGCGGCCTCAACGGAAAAAGAAGCGCCCCCGCCGAGATTCATAGTACTAATTCGGGCCCCGACGACCGAAATCCAAGAGGAAATCCGTGGATCATTAGCAAGAGGTTTCATCATGCATTATGCATCTCCTGGATCAGCACCCCGCCTCTGTTTCGCACCGGGTTGAAAAAAGCGTGGCTGCTACCGGTGTTTCAAGCAGGATGCCATCGCCAGAAAGCGTGCTCTCCCTCTTGGATTCGTTGGTCCATAGGCTGCCAGCGCATCGGGCCACTTTTTTTTCGCACTTTGTATTTTTGGAGTCTTTTTCAACGCAGCAAAAGCAGGATCTTGGCGGCGAGCAACGTTTGCCGCAGGCCGCAGCGGACGGCCGCATGAATGAGGGGGAGGAGAACGAGCCAAGAGCGATGATTCGGACGCGATTGTCAGCCCGAATCCCTGCCGTATCCGACTGAGCTTTGGCACCACTGCCACTTTGCTGAGATTATGGGCTGCGGTCATGGTGGCAGAAGATGGGCTATTGGGGCTTGTACCAGACATCTACGGAGTACTGGAGAGTGCATACGAATCTACTTGACCCCTCGATCAAAAATCTGCTTAGGCACGAATGGTTGGAGAAGAGGAGGGGGGGGGGGGGTAAGGGGGGGGGTATGTGGAAGAAGATGCAATGGGAATGAGGCACTACTTGTTGATGCTACCGCTTAGCTGCATTGGCCTCAGTGTCCATCTCTTGATGGTAGCCACTGGACGAAGGGAGAAGGAAGAAGAAAGCATCAAACGGTTGGACGATTGTGATGACACATGCTTTCCCCACTGCTTGGAGACCTGCCCTTGTTTGTGGTAGCTGCATAAACTTAGGGTAACGGAGACTCCATATATATGAGAGATATAAATGCTCGCCGTAGGGGCATAGCGTAGCGTTCCAAGCAGGCCATTAACAGCAAAGAGTAAAAAGTAAAGGCAGCAAAAAATGAAATAAAACAGCAAGTTACTATAAAAGCAGGTGGTATCACAACCCTCAACAAATATTTTCCCCTTGATGTTACTCTATATGTACCTATTTGTAGATGGTGGTATTCCAGCATCCAAGAGTAAGGCATCTCTCATTGGCATGTTGGATAACCGCCCAAGTGGGATGCTAGCAAGCTACAAGGCTCACAACGGCCGGGTGAACACTTGCGCACACCCTCTTTGACGCGCGAACCTGATCATGTGAACCCTAAAATATCGTTTGCCTGCCGCCCCTACATATGAAAAAAAAATACGCACAGCCGAGAATTGCGGTGAAAAAAAAAGGAAGCCTGACACAAACATCACCATCGACTTACACTGACGTGACGAGGCAGAAAGCACATCATCAAGCAGCAGAGACATACATGCACATATATGCGAGTGATACACGGGCGAGTGGTCCAGAGCTTACAGCAGCTTCGCTGTAATCATTCTCTGCAGATTGGAGTTGCGTCTGTCTTTTTGTATCCCGATCCCCGATCCGTACCCCGATCCAATATCCCAATACAAGTACACGATGATAGTAGTACACAATACGCATCGTACTAATAATACAACGCCCCCTTTTCATTCTCCTCTCTTGGTGATATGAATCCCGAGGAGGGAGAAAAAGGGAGGCAAATGAAAGACATCTCTAGTAATACAATGCCTTGTGAACGCTCAACGCTCAAACAAAAACAGAAAAGAATCCAAATCATGAGCATATGCCGCGGAGGTGGTGTAAACACCATGCACATGAAAAGAAGCCCGTCCCGTCCCCCCACATTGGCAATAAATCCCGACCCGAACATCCCAACCTTTTGACGTATCAAAACAACGCACGCCGGGGGTGGCCAATGCAAATATGGGGGTTGGCGCGGCTAAACATGTGAAAAAGAAAAAAGAAGTAAAAAGAAAAAGAAAAAAGAGGCACGCATCATCCATCGTACACGTCTGCTCACAGACGGCTCCATATAAAAAAGGGACGGCAGACCACTCAAGAAACATGGAAAGTAAACACTTCTGGACCCATTTGTCTTGTTCAAGTGCATATCCGGGTATCAAATCATGCAACCAAAAAACACCATCCCAACCCCACCCGGTATTAATCCTAGCCAATCTTTTTTGCTTCTGCTTTTTGAATCCTGCCTGCCCTCTTTGTCCCGTGTGTACGTGATTTGTGATGCGTGCCGTGCATTCCCTGAGGTCCTTCCCTCCATAAAACGCCGAGGTAAAAGAAACCCATGTTTGCGTACGTGCATGTATATATCTATACATATTCATACTTTACAGCACAATGCCATTGAACAAAGGAAAATAAACAAAGGAAAGGAAATTCAAGTCTGGTCCAGTCTGCACATCCCTAGTGGAGGGGGACAGTTGGAACAGGCTTCGTAGGGAGCGAATAGTAGGGGGTAGCAAGCTCATGTCTTCTCCATGCCTCCACTCAGCTCGGCTCCGGGCTGATGGTCAATGGCATGGGGACTGAGGCGAGGGCGATGCCTCGTATGCCGGGGGCGGGGCGTCCTCAGACTCATCCCACTTGCCCCGTTGCTGGGACCGCTTCTCGTCATAGACGCGGCGTGCGATCTCACTCGCCATTTTCATGACCCAGTCTTGGTCTAGAAGGTCAGGCGATGACTGAGCCTTGGCACCGGGAGTCTCCCGAGGGCTGCCTTTTTCGGGAGTCGCCTTACGACTGTTAGCCGTGGCGTCAGCCAGCATCTTCAAGTCCTTCAAGGCGGACGTGAGCTCCTCCAAGGTGAGTGAGTTCTCGCCCATGTCGGTCATGAGCGTCTGTGGGTTGAAATGATCGGTGATGAAAGGATCATCTGGCAGCTCATCTTCTTCAGGTATTGAGTTGTCGAATAAGGGCTCCGAGAGGGGAATGTTGACCGAAACGGGTGTGTTGGATCCAGCTTCGGATTGGTTTTCTGGAGTGACAGCTTCCGACTTGGTCTTCCTGAGATTGACCACACGGTTCTTCTTCTTGCGACCCTGCCTTGATCGAACATTGTTGCCAACGCCCAAGCCTGTGGAGGCATTAATGGTGGTGGTAAAAGAAGGCCGTGAAGATATCGAGCCGTGCAGGGTGCTTCCCGTGTCAGAAAATGTATATGTGGTGCCTGTGACGCCGGCGTGTGAGTTTGTCCTCACACGATTGGGAGACGAAACCGACGGAGTGGCGGCATCAGTGCGGTCGGCGCAGCCCGACCAAGCTCGGAATACCACGTCCCGTATACCGGGTGTAAACAGAGAAAGGGTCCGATGAGAATCGGTTAGCGCAGCGAGACGCAGGAGATTCTTCTGGGAGAAGAGCGACTGTGTCTCGCCTCCGCCATTCAAAGAGATTTCCGAGATGGCGCTTGGGTCCAGCGGGTTGCCATTGGCATCAACAGGGTCCAGAGGTGGGCTTGACAGCGGGTTCACCCCCTCCTCGTCCGTCTCCTCTTTCGGGGTTTCCACGCCCTTATTGGCCTGGTCTGGACACCACAATTGGAGAGACAAGCGATGAATAATCGCTGGCAGCTCATCCATCATCAAGTTTCGCAATTGCTGCTCAATAGTCCGCTGCAGATAGTCCCGCACGAATTGGATCGAATCAAAGGTCGAGGAGACCTTGAGAGACTCGAGCGGGTCATTGCGAAACACCAAGGTCAGTCCCTTTTGTTTCGAGAAGACCAGGATAATGAAGGCCGATAGCTTGATATCGGACAGGGTAATTGAGAGGGGGATCGTCAGGCCCGAGGCTGCGGCCAGCGGCTGTGGAGAGGTGAATTCTGGTTTTGAGAAGAGATAGGTATTGAGTGGATTGGCCTGGATATCGTGTTAGCCACCCAATTGCTCAGGATATGCAAAGCTGCCTCAACCCCGCCACAAAGGCGAAAAAGAAATAAATGTGAAATCTGATTTGAAAAAGCCAATTCATGCAAGGAGACCATTCTCATGTATGAGTCGCATTGCGAACCGGGAATAAAGCCGGACCCAGTTCCAGAGTGAAAGCTCGAAGCAGCTGGTTTTTTGTGTGCAGTGCGCCGAGAGCTAAGCGATCGACGGTAATGCCGGCAATGACGAATTGCATCCCGACCGCGCGATATCTCAAAGCTCGCTGCCTAGCGAGCCAGACGCTTATCCAGCTCATTGTCGCAGTCTTCATCAATTGACTGCCGCCCATGCCAGCAGTAACCGAAAAAGCGCAGCGCGATTGAGAGGCGTTGTTATGGTGGCGCGATTCATAAGTGCTTCGGGCATTATCGGGTTTCCGGCGCGGCGCGAGGGAGCTCCATGACGAAAAAAGGAAAAAAAAAATTACGGGTATGGAGCCGAAGAGGTCTCCCAAAGCTGCCAAACGTACCTGAACCCGCGTCTTGAGCGTCAAATAGGCGTCTCCAGAGTAGGTCATTTTGAAAATGCCTCGAAATCTATCCTCTGCAAGGTCTCCAATTTCCAGGATTTCCAGGTCGGGTGGGACGGTGCCCAAGTTGAATTCGCTGACGAGGATGTCATCGACGATAATGGGCGGTTTAGGCGATTTGTTCAGGGCCTTTGTGAGCAGGTCTCGGGCACGCGAGTAGAACTCGGCGTCGGCCGTTAAAGGCGACCAGTTGAAGTTGAAGGCCATGTTGAAATGGCAGTCGTTATCTCGAGACCATGTGCAGGGCGCTGGCCGTCATAGGCCGTGAGAGGCAGCTTTTTTTCCTTCTGTGGGTGGGGATCGATCGTGGAAGACGCTTGGGGCTTGTAAGCAGGGGCTTGTCTGCAGCAGTAGCGATGCGGTTCGATAAAAGAAGCGAGAGCAGTGACGAATGAAAGCTCTGGAAGAATAGGCTGCAAAAAAAAGAATCAAGATGGAAGAGTCTGAGCCAAAGGTAACGCGGAGGTGGGAGGAGCAAGGTCGTGGAGATGACGCTATTAAGAGTTGGAAGAGCTGAGGCCCAAGATTCGGAGAAGCTGCGTAGCGAAGCACAGCACATAAGTGGGCGCCAGAAATTTTTCTCCAGCTAGGCCTGGGAGCTCGGTATGTATGGCGCGGACGCACGGATGGTGCGGTAGGCGCATCAGGCCGCTGAAACAACCCGCTAGACCGTCGACCGGTGGGGCGCCTTCAGGCGGGCTCGTCCGCGGGCTCTGCCTGTAAAGTCCACCGCTGGCGTCGATGCCGTGCGGGCGGCACTGTGCAGAATATGTCGCGGGCGGGCTTCGCATCTGCCCACTCTGGGAGCACAAAACGCAATCAGCAACGACTGCATGCTTACTGGTACGGGGACAGTGTCGATATGCAGGCCAAAGTGTATGCAGTGCCAGGACGAACCAGCGGCAGTGTTAGCCGAGTTGGATGGCGCATGTCTCCTGATCGCGACACTTGCTTTATTGCTTCAACTCATATAATCAGCTGACGGCCAAGCCTATCGATCGGCTGGCCGGAATGTACGAGTGTTGCCAACAGCTCCCCCTTCTCGTATACACGCCCAGTGCGCAAACGGATAGCCAAGATCTGCAATCTGCAACAACTCAATGCCAAATCACGGCGCATAATGAGGGGGCGATGATCGGATACCGAGTGGCAAGAATTGAGTACCTCCTTGCAGCTACCAAGACAGCAACCTACGTGGACGATGCGAGGAGACGCGTAGAATGTCTTTTCCGCACCAGCCCTTTGGTCCAAAAACCCAATCAATGCCAATGTTTCCATCAGAAGACGCGTTTTTGAGTTTCGCAAGCTGCATAAGGAGACGAAACGAGCTAATATTAGCATTGCTGCTTAATGTCGGCTAAGTTGTCCAAACTCGGCATTAGAGGAGGACCAGCCGGGAGATACAGGTAGAGGTCGGAGCAGGACGCATGGCACTTTTCGGGACGAGAATCATGCGCAATCCCCAATGTTCGCACTGTCCAAACCGTCCCCTTACCGTACGATATTCCGCAAATGGCTGGATGCATCGGGAGGCGGAGAATACTGACGGGATTGGCCCAGTTTGGAAATCCATCATCTCAACAAGAATCAGACTACTATTCGGTGCTTGGGTATCCGTAGGTATAAGTATCGATAGGTGTAGATTAGTAGACAGAACCTGGTAATAATATCTCTAGATCTGGGGAAACGCGGCGACAGCGGCAGCAGGTATATATACACCAGTGTACTCCATACTCGTACGTTGCCAGACTGTCGCAAGAGCTGCGATAATTACTTACGCAAGACTAGCCAAGGTGGGCAATCCCATTAATGCTTCGTTACCCTCGTCTACTCCGCACAGGAACGCTTTAGAATTGCCAGGGTATTGGACGACTACTCCCAAAGGAAGAGAAGACGAAGAAGGCCAATAGAACGCTGAAGCCACTAGCGATGCAGAGCATGATTTGGGCAGGTCAAGTTGGATGGAGGCCCGACCACGGAGGCCAGGAACTGGGTGCAAGAAGTTGCATGGGCTGGTAGCACAGCAGAACAGATTGCTGACTGACGTCTCGATGGGGAGTGTGTCCTGCATCTCGACGTTTTTCTGATGCCGCATGCGGGGGTCCAAGGCACCTTTGAGCGCATGTGGCTGGCCCCCTAATGACATCACAGGGACCGTAAATCCGGGGCAAGGGGTGCCGTTTAATATCTCGTGTGTATGCGGCAGTATCCGTACGGGGTAGATTGCTACGTTCCTAGGTGTGTAGATACCTTAGCACAGGCACAGGTTGGGTACTGCACAAGTACAGGTAGGTAAGTATGTTGCCTTTTGCGTTGGCGATCCCAGATGCCGTCATCATGCTCTCAAGGTATGCTGGCTACATACGAGTATGTAGTCTTGGCCCGAAGCGCATGGTGCTAATCTGAAGATAGAGGGGAGCCGAGAGGCAGGCAAAGGGTCTCCCGAGGCTACGAGTACGTGGGTGCCCTGTGATGCATCGCCTCCGAGTCAGACATGCATACATGTACACGGTCAGGCGCACACTCATCTCTGGTACAACTGCACCACTAACGACTAGCACCTTGTGCGCACAAAAGCCAACCAGACAACGCTGAAGGAGCGCGGCCGTATGTACATGTAGCATCAGCCCACCATGTTCAGCATCGTGACATGTGGTGGTGGCATTCGCGATCCGGGCACCATTCACAGGTCGAGGCAGCAGAAGGAGGAAGCGGTTCGCGAGCAGGGAGGGGAGGCCGCACGGGCGTCCCCAGCATCCAACCGCCGCTGCCAGAAGCCGAATCAGCCTCTCTTCCACATGTAAGCGGTGCTTCAGCCCTGCCCAGCTGTGTAGGTTGTAAGCCGCCGAGCTGCTTGGGACATGGCGGCTGTGATTGGAAGACCGACTCTTGCATGTTTCTTTAGCAACAACCACCACCGTGCCCTCGGTTCTGCCGTTGCCCGGAAATAGTCCAGCGTCTGCAGCGGAGCCGGAGTCAAGGGGGGAAATGCACGTCACTGGATGCGACTTCAGCTCGCACTCTGCCAAGTCGGCACGATAGAGGCCAGACCCAATATTACGTCCGGCCAGTGAGCGGTTCTTTGCCCTGGGCTCGTTGTTGCGAGGGGTTTGAGTGACTGGCTGAGCCTTTTGGACGCCACCACGAAAGGGGGGGAAAGACATGGAAGTACTTGGTATGCGGTTTGCCATCATCACAAGTTTCCGCTTGGATCGTGTCTTGCATCAGTGAGTGCCTGGCATTAATACACTGCACGATACACACATACACTCGCAGGGATTGTCTGGTACATGATCCTACTCCGTACTATTGCCTCCAGCTGCTCGTACTAGCGTCTGCCTTAGCACCTATTCCAATCCGATCCCAGTTGTCAGATTCGCAGCTCAGATCACAGGCTGGCCGCGCCACGCCACACGACACTATGCCGACGACCTGAGCACATCACTGCCCTCCCTTGCCTCGCCTCGCTCCCACGCCGACGTCGTCCGTCTTGTCTGGTATATCTCACTTCCATCTTCCTACACACGCGTGTGCCAGTGCCTGTAACTCTTACTAAAGGTGCGGCGTAATAAGTCAATGAATGGCAGTCATAATAAGCTGGCCATAGCGGGCGGCCTCGATCCGTCAAGTCTTTAAACTCTAAATCTACTATCGACGACCCGCGTCTTCTTCTTCCCCCTTTCTCACCTCGACTCGACCCGACCAACATCTCCTGCGAAAATCTCTGTCGACTTTCCTCCTTCGCCAACCAAATACGACATCTAATTTCCACGCAAGGATAACGCCGCCGCTCCAGCTCTCCACTCTTTGGCCGTTTAATTCAACATCGGAACCCGGGCCAAGAGAAAAGGAAAAAAAGCCCAGCCAAGGGGGAAGCGCACCCAACAGACGTTATTCGCAAGTTGCCTTATACTACGGCCGGGTACATCGAAACATCCGACCTAGGGCGATATCGCTTTTTTCCTTGTCTCACCTTTGAACTCTCCCTTCGAACTGCTATTCCTAATCGACTCACTCGCATGCCTCTCGACCGCTGGCCCGGCCTCCGTGCTCCCTGAGACGTACCGCCACAGCGCTATCACACCCCCCGACTCAGTGCCTTGCAGCCCTTGCAGCAGGGCCTGCAGGACGGGCCCGCGACCGTCCCCAATCATGAAGCCGCAGACCTTCTTGCAGCTGCCACCCCAGCTTGTCGAAGACTCGGCCTCCAATAACGGCTCCTCCGTTGCCGGCGACTACTGCTTCGACGACGACTTCCTTTCTGATGCCGGCAGAGAATCGCCCTCCAATGCCGACTCGCTGGCCGAGGACTCGGACGATGAGGCTGTCGCAGTCAGCTCGGCGGACATGGCCCGGCTGCGGGCCATGAGCTATGACCGCTCGCGCGACCGTAGATGCGACTGCGACGACGACAATCAACACAACACCAACGGCGGCTACGAGTACGACCAAGGCCGGACTCGACCACGAACCAGACAACGCCCCCAACTCCGAGTCCAGGACGTTGATCCCGCCCTGGATATGGGTGGCAACAACGGCGTCGACGGCGGCGGCGCGTACCAACCTCTGGTCAGCATCCTGCCGCGAGGCACAAAGCCTGTCAGGCTGGTTGGCGAAGGCGCCGCCAACGCCGTCTTCGAGATCGAATTGCCCAAATTGCCCCCAGGCAGTCGCGTCGGTGCGCAGTTTCAAGGTACGTTAGGCCGAGGCCGGGAACCGCACAGCCAATTACCCTGATGGCGATAGATCCCCACAGCCCTGCATTGTCAAGGCATCGAGACACTCATTCGTCCACGCTAAGAATGCGGTTACACAAGCCCAATGCACAGCGACTGTTTGCTAACTCGTGCCCCCTTCTCTCATAGGCAAGCTCCTGAGGGTGGCCAAAGCACCATCTCTTGGCCGCGCTCCAACCTCGTCCGACTATTATCTCCGCCAACAGGAATTCTTCATCCGTGAGATTCAGCCGCACCTAGGCGAACATGCTGTGTCCCAGGAGCTGGTGGTACTGCATAAATCCGGCATTGTGGATGACCTCAATGCCATGCTTCGGGACATGAACCACCAACGCAAGCCCAAGTTTCAAGGCTCCTTCATTGGCCACGCATCTTGGGGCTTTCTTGTGGAGGACATGCGGCCCAAGGGTGAGTACCTTAGTCACATGCTTACGTCCAAGTTGCTATATATAATGCGGCTCCTTCAACCTTCTGCGACTACGTACTAACAAGGCAATCAAAGGCGACGATGGGTCCATCCTTGTCGAATTTAAACCCAAATGGCTGCTACAATCACCCAGCGCCCCCAAAGGTGCCATCAGATGCAGGCAGTGTGCGTTGGAACTTCGCAACTATCTGAAAACGCCCGGCTCGAAACCTCCGCGCCCTGAAAGGCGGCCCTGCCCGATTGCGCTTGCAAATCCCGACTGTCCTCGGCAAGTCGCGTCACCCTTTCGAATAGCTCCGCAATTCGCTGCCCAGCAGGATGACAAGCGCATCCAGGCTATTCTCGACAAAATCATCCACCACAAGGCAATCCAAAAGCTGAGGGACTGCCAGAAGAGCCTCGATCATGTGGGGCCTCTGCTACGTCCTACAAACTTGGATTTCGTCGTTGCCATGACGTTGCGCGACTGTACATGCTTTGCACTTGTTCCATCCAACGACGACGAGGAAATTAAACTTCGTTTTGGCGACTTTGACTTTAAAGACCCTGAAAAGAAGTTTAACCACTGGCGCGGAACGGAGCAAGACCTCATTGAGGGTGGCTTCTATACCGCTGACTGGATTGCTTGCGACGACTCATACTATCATCCGCCGTCACTGTGCTCGCTGGAGTGGTCGGGGAAGCCTCGGACGGGAGATGCAGTCATTCTTCTCATGGAAGATAATACTACGAAACATAATAAGCACTCGAGCTACCAAAATAGTGGCTTTCCTCCTTCAGCGAAGACGGGGAAAACGGTATACAGGCATGCGGCGGATCTGGCGGCGTTACACAAGGGCCTGGCGCCCTTTAAACGAGAGATGGGAGGCGCACAATCGGATTCTATTTATGACAACCCTCTGAGGTGCGATCCTAGACGAGGATAAAGAATCTGGCGCTATGGAATTATAGTCGGTTTTTGGTCCTTTTTTGGTAGGCGAACAGCTTTTACCTTTGTTCCTTTTTTTTCTCTCTTCTTTTTCTCCTTCTTCTTCTCTTTTGTCTTGTGTCTAAAATCGGCATGGGGACTTTTTAAAAGGAGGCGTCAAAAGGCTACCAAGGTAGGAGGAAATGCGTACTGGCGGACGCAGCGAAATGGGTTATGGGAAGCGATGGGATAAAGCTGCATGGAATACAGAACGGCGGCACTTTTCGGTCTTAACTGGGTTTTTACAAAATACCATTATTCTCCGTATATATTTCTTTCAGTTGTATTTTGCGATAGATTAGATGGCTTCGTATTCTTTTCAAATGAATTGCCTAAAAGGTCTATATATAGCTATACAGCAACCCGGCGATCGCGGAGAGTCCTACGAGTACCTAGGTAGGTAGATTCTGTTACCATTGCTCCTCTCTGCTATTATAGCTATATTTCTCTAGTGTTCGTTACTATAGCTATTCCTCTAGTATCTGGTAATTTACACTACATAGCTGTAGATTAGCAAACCTGGGATGTTGAATGTCACTCCCATAAAATTAAGATACCATACACGCCCCATGATAACGCCTTTGAAACGACCAGTTCATGCGATGGCTAGATGTCAGATATCGTAAAACTCAATAAACTTCCCGATGCAAGGCCGGCCACCAGGCACAGGCCCATGAATCCACCGGTAGCCTCCCGCTCGTTGTCTTCAACCCACTCGCCCGAAGCAATCATGAAGCTCGATCCAACCCATCCGTTGGTCAGGCCAAAGACAAGCTGGACGATGAAGAGATAGAAGAAGTCGCTCGGGATGATGGCGCCGCGGCCGTTGATGTTGCAGAGGAGGTAGAGCGGGAGGAGCGCGACTCGGGCCACGGCCAGCGCGAAGAGCAGGGCCGGCCTGTGGGAGAGCGAAAAGGGCAGCATGGTGGCGATGCGGCCCAGAAGATCGCCAATGTTCCAGAAGAGGAAGCCGACGGGGATGAAGACGGCGGGCTGGAAGAGGATCCCGCCGTCCTTGTGCACGGAAAGGATCTTGACGGTGAAGACGGGGAAGAACATGGTGACGGCAAAGACGAGGGCCACGCCGAAGGCGAGCCAGCGGAGCTTCTTGAGGAGGTGCAGCAGGGAGACGACTTTGCGCGTGGCGCGCTCGGCCTCTTCGATGCTGGCCATGGAGGAGGCGAGGTGCTCTGTAAGACGGTCGGCTACCAGGCGGTTGTGTCGACGGACCAGGGGGATGATGGCCACGAGGGTTACCAAGGAGATGACGACGGCGGCGAGGAAGTAGTAGAAGGCGGAGGATTGTCCAGCGCCCTCGCCTGCGACTGTGTTTTCTTTGCTAGGAGGGAAGACGAGCACGGAGACGACTTGCGCGATGGAAGGCAGAACTCCGGCCACGCCCTGGCCTACCATGAGAGCCTGCATGTACTCGGATCGGCCAAAGCCGGCGGCGAAAGCAAACGCGCCGTTTTGCATCAGGCCGGCGGCCCAAGAGGTACATGCCACCATGGTGAGCACAAAGCCCAGGTACTGGCGCGGCGAGGCATCGAGAAAGACGGCCGTGGAGCCCGTGAGAAGGCTGAAGATGACGGTGTTGATGACGAGGGCGAGGTTGATGCGGAAGGGGTACGAGGCGGAGTGTTGGATGTGGGAGAGGATGAGGGAGGAGACGAGGTTCGTGAGGGTCGAGACGGTGAGGATGGTGGACTGGAAGTTTGCTTCTATCCAGGAGTCGCCGGCGAAGCGGGATGCGAAGTATGGAGCGGCGGCGAGGAACATGTTCCTGTTGAGAAACAACTACATTAGCTTTTTTTTTTTTTTTTTTTTGCATGTATCTAGAGAGAGACGGTGTCTTTTGTGCGTACCAGGCCCAGAGCATGGCCATGCCCAGGAAGCAAAAGATGGCATATTCGATCCGCGAAAAGGGTACATCGTTGCTGTCTTCGTCCAGGCCTCCTAGCAGCGCCGAATCTTCGTCTGAGGCTGCTGCGTGATCCTCCACATCCGCTAATGACTGGTACTCTGGTCTCGAAGCCATCTTCTATAATCAGATTCCGCTGGCCCCGAGCAGAGGTGTGTTTTGATTAAAGCCTTGACGACGTCGGCCTCCTCTGAGGAAAGAGATGGTAATCGGCGTGTTTGGCGTCACTCGGGTTTTGGCGTTGATGTTTGTATCGAGTCGATTAGCCGCTGACCGTTTGACGATTTTCCGTTTCTCCGGGCCTCGGTGTGAAAGAACGAGAAGAAAGGGACTTTGGTGTATCCCTCACGCCTGTCTATCCAGGCATTGGCGGGTCGGTCGCGTGAGCAAGAACAAAGAGCAGAACTCGTGACGTTTGATAAAAGGAGCTGGAGGGTTTTCGAGAGCGTTGACGTCGGAACCTGGAAGCATGTAAGGTAAGCTGGGCGGCCGCTAAAGACGGAGTTGGTCAGGCGGAGTTTGCCGCTGAGGCTACAGGGCGCTTTAGCGTCGATGCGGCCTGGGGTAGCAGGTACCCGGCGTTACTAAGACGCGGGCGTGTTTGGTGGGTTTGTGAGAACTGCTCTGATCCTGAAGAGGAAATACAGCACAGTTCTTTGTGCTTCTCCAGTGACGACTTCAATATCTGACGTTAGTACATGTAAATTACAAGGATTCTGTTACAAAAAGCATCTATCCGGTTATTTGGCACATGGTCAAGAAATGTCATTCATCTGGAGCTCAAAGTGACAGCACATTGTCTAAAACATCTAAGCCACCGTGGGACCAAGGCTTGAGCTTCCATGTCATACAGCTGCTAGTCAGTTCATCAATGCACGGAGGTAGTATACAAAGGAAATATCGTCACACAATCTAGTGATAATCCAACACACCCCGAGAGAAATATTGGCAGCATTCTTCTTCACAATCGGCTCTGTATGGGCATAGGTGAAAGTGAATCGAAGAGCCCAGCCGGAAGCCTCCACGTGATGGATCCCTGATGCAATGCATGTTTGTCGTGCATGGCTGCCACATGCAAAATACAAGTCAATCTCTAATTCTCGTTGTGAAGATTCTGAGTAAGTGATACACAACAACAACCCAGATATGGCAATACTGAGGGAAATTATATCAAATCAAATTGCCTGCTAACTACTAGGTAGGTACTGTGTCTCTTTAAGCCGCCTGCTAATTCTCCAGACACGCAATATCGTAAAAGGTCAACATATCGAACATGAACGTAAATAAAAGGAACAAATGCGAATACAGAACAGGTAACGACAATCACCACTGCCACCGTCCAAGATTCCACGAATCAGACTCCCAAACGCCATGCCTCACGGCCTCTCTTCAGAGATACCATGTCGTCTCTCAGAGGGGAAGCCCCTATCCGAGAACAACATCCACCTGATCTCGTACTTGTGCATTCCAAGCCTTGAGCAGGATATGCCCAATGCCCCTCCTGTAGCAAACACTGCCAATTCTCTCAATCCACAGCACGTTTACAAAGTCCAGTATGCCGTCTGCATCTTTGTTCTCTTCGAATTTCTCCGGCGTGAAGATAAAAGAGCCCTTGCGCTCCATTCCTGTGCTGATGGCAATGAACTCAAGTTTTTCGCCTCCGTCATGGTTGGACGTCTGCACGCCGATCCACGCGTCGTGAGCTCGAAACTCCCCAATCCATTTATCATTCTTGCTCCAAATGTTTCCAATGGCGAGCTGAGGATTTGAATGATCCTTGGGTGCCATAGTATCGGCAAGGTCGACATCAAAGTGCCCAGAAGCCGTTCGGAAAGACAGGAGCGGTCCCGGGAAAGTCTGCTCGGCGGTTGTTGGCGCGTGTTGTCCATCCTTTGGGGGGTCCACCACTGGCACAGGATACTTGAAAATGGTCTCGCGGTCGCTATCATGTTTGAAAGCCGACCCGCTCCTTGACCAACCTCGGGGCAGCGGTGTCCCAGCATTTTTGCGGGAGCGGAGATCTCGAAACCGCAGCCCAGTGTTGTTCACGGGAACCGTGGAAGCCCTGTCTGTGAGGTTCCAAGTGATGGTGGGTTTTATCCTGAAAGTTTGCATTGACTGAAACCGTTTCGAGTTGGATCCTACTTTTGCCGGACTTGTCTCTTCGACGTAATCCGCTGCAGCTCTCCATAGCACCAAGTCAACAGGCACACCGTCAAACCACCAGCCCATCCAAGACCATGACGGAAGAAAGGGGGCCCGCGGTGGTGCCCTCCGTCGTATTGATGCCTGTGGGCGCCAGAGCAGAGCGACGTCGAGGAACATGAGCGGCATGCCATACATGAAGCCGTCGGAAAATGTGCGTGAGAGCATGGAGGTGATGCCCGAGAATGCTCTCAAAGTGTCCTCGACGTGTGTCACCCTCCTTGCGCTATAGTCGGCTGCGATGCGAGCGTACTCGTCCAAGTCAGGCCATGGAGGGTGTTGATAGCCAAGAATGGCAGAAGAAAGGCGGTTGACACATTCATGCCGATTACTGCCTCGCAGCTTTGGTATGATATTCGAGGAGCTTTTCTGCCAAAGCTCGCAGTGGCATTCCCATGTCACGGTATCTTGAAAGAAGAAAACGGTGCGGCGCGAATAGAGAAGCTCTTGCAGGGTCCACCCACGGGTGTTCCATTTCGATTGCCGGAGCAATTCGTTGTGATCCTTGGCGCTGCCACCAGCCTTCGAGTCGCGCTGGCGCTTTGGACTGATGGGGAGAAGGCCGGTATAGAGGTCGCCATAAGCTGCGGCGACTGTGAGGTATGCATTCGCAAAGATGTAAGGCATGTGCCGAATGTGGTTGTCTTTGTCCACATCGTCATCTTGGACAACGCATAGCTGATCAACCCACAGGTAGCGGAAGCCCAGTTTCCTTGCCAGATACATGGCGTCGAGAATGGTCTCGGGAATGTCCACCTCGGGGAGCTCTGACTGGAAGGCTTCGACATTGGACTTGAGCAGCCGCACCACGGCGTTGGGGCCTCCTCGACGCGGGTTCAGCGGGCCCCAGACATAGCTCAAGGCGAGATAGCGATCTGTCGGCTTGGCCTTGATCAAGCATCGCTCAACAGAGTCGACAAAGTAGGTAGGGCGCCAGGTGGTTGTGTCAGCGTCATCGCCGCCGCAGTGGTGGTTATGCTGGCCATTGCATGTATCCAACCACGATTTGATGCGCATCATGGGGGACGATTTGTCGGCGACGGACGAGCGCCTCCGTTCAGGGGGCGGCGGCTCATGTTTAGCTCTCTCCCGGTTGTCCCTGTTCTCTTTGTTCTCTTTGTTCTCTCTATTTTGCGCACGCACTTGGTTGAGGGAACCCAGCAGACGGCCTGCGATGCTTAGACGTCTCGCAGGTGCTGGCGCTGGCGCATGTCCATGATGCGGCTCCGGATTAGAGGTAGGGGGAGGCGCATGAGATTGAGGGCGGGCATGAGTGCGAGCACGGGGAGGAGGAGGAGCTGGCGGCGGCGACTCGCTGCCGGACGAGGACCAGTCGCTCTCAGACTCGGGCTCTCCTCGCATTGTTTGTGGTGTTTGACTAAGATGGTCTGATTTTGAGTGTTTACAGGACTGATGGATGATGGATGAACTGCACAGACGCTGAGATGCGTTGGAGTGAAGTGAACGAAACGAAACGAAACGAAATGCTAACAAAGCAACCTTGCGCCAGAGACGCAGGCCGTCATGGCCGTAGGATGAAGAAAGAGTGAGGCGAGATGACGTTGGGTGGTTGTTTGGAAGACGATCCTGGGCGTAAGGCGCTATAATATGGGATCATGGATGCCGTGCTCGTGCTACCAGGAGCATCAATCAGGCTGGGCTGTGAGGCGACGCGTTGCTGCAGCACCTGTTTAGCACTAAAGTCCAAGGTCCAGGTCCAGGACCTCGTACAAGTACTGCATTGAGCTTGAGGTGCCCCTCCAATGGATCCGTGAAATTGATTGATCCATCCAGTCCTTTGCACCCATGACGTTGAGCGGTTATTGGCTGGTACGTTAGCTAGGTTGCGTCAACTGGGAAGCTTACCCTATACGGCCTGTGGAGGGCGTGAGTCGAATGGAGGATTAACGTTGTATGCTGCTTTTTACGAGAACTGCTTGTTGTTTGTTTTGTAGAGTATTCGCGCAAAGTAGTTTTATTTGCATCAACACGTTCAGTGCGTTTCAAACTACAGGTGTTTTGGTCAGTGTTGTTGTTAGTGGCTTGATAACAGGGGCCAAGAACTCAAAATTAGCCGAGCCTCAGTCCAGGTACCGCGTGAGAGTGTGCTTCGTATTCCAGTTGATCGAGTTGTAGCATCAAACCTTCTTTCACGATGCGCAGCTATAAAAAAAGAATACGAAAAATAGATGAATAAATCAACATCTTCAATATATCAACAAAGCGTAAAGCAGCTTCCATAGTCAACATCAAGATGCAGCCAACACCAAGGTAGACAATCCAGCGGAAGTCAGAAAAAGCGAGACTGCAAAATGAATAGGCGCATACACTCGGCAATATAAGCACACTGTTTTCACTATGTAAGAGAGTAGCAGTTACTATAAGAATATGGATAAAGTAGCAAGTACGAGAGAAATGAGAATATAGTAGCAGATACTTTAGAAACAGGCGTATAATTCAACGCGTGGGTGCTCATACTCTTCTCGGTCTCGGGTTTTCTGTCCTCTGCTTGACAATCAAATCCATGTCTTATTGACTCTTCTCCGCATTCTTCTTCAGCGCCGGCTAGCCTCGCTAGTGCTCAGCGGCGTGGGGAGCTCCTGCTGTGGGGCTTCTACAGCCATCCATCCTCGACTTCGGTCTTCATGTTGGCTTCATACTTGTACTTGTATTCATCATCAAACGCCAGACGACCAACGCATCAAACCGCCTGTTCACGTGCTCATCTGATTTACTCTTCCGGTGCTTTATTACGTATCAAACATTTAATGGGATGATCCAGTATATCCATCTCGGCCACGCTGCGTCGTTTGCCTTTGTTGCTTCGTAATGGCTTCCAACTCTGCCCAGAAGCGTGTCAAAACAGGTAAAACCCAAATCTCGCCGTCTTGACTCGCTTTAAATCCCCCTTCTAACACGATGACATAGGATGGTATGGAACTTCATCCCAGCAAACCAAACAGCATATAAACTTGCTGGCCGTTGTATATCACCCTCACTGACTGACTGGTTAAACCGGGGGCAGCTTAACATGCAGAAAACGTCACGTTAAATGTACGTGGGCTAATGCAAGAGAGCCCTTACACCGTTATTAGCCATGAAGATCCTTATACTCTCTCTGGTTATTGAACTTGCCATCTTTTCTCCCCCCCTTACTCGCTTTATGCGATTTCCCATGTCTTAGAGACACTCCTAGGCTGACTCTACCAAAGGCGATGAACGCAGACCGGGGTGCAAGCGCTGCGAGATAGCTGGCCGGTCATGTTCCTTTCCTAGGGCAGCTAGCCCCGACAACTTTAATGAGGTTGCCTTGGTAGAAAATGAATATTTCGACTTTCCAGAGGATCACGTCTGGGTCAAGATTCCGTCTTCTTGTAAGTTTAACTGTCCTACGCATCTCGGGTGTCTGGGCCGGGCTGATATGACCGCTCAAGTGCGATTTGCCCATCATGTACGGCGGAAATCGCGTAGAATTAGCCGAGCTCTCAACAACATAGAGGACGACACAGCTTCCATTCTAATGAACCCATCAGGTGAGAGGGATTTCTACAAATATTACCTTGTTCCCCGTACTAACAACGACAAGACGATGCACCAAGCTCCCCGAGACCAGCATCTCAGTTTTCTAGCCAGACAGAGCCAGAGCCTGGATTCCTCCGCATATCCCTTCCACCCGTTTCTCATTTCCTTTTCGAAGATATTTCTGATAGCCAAACTACAACTACTCCTATTGGAAGCCTGGCAGAAGCTCTGAACTCAACACTGCCCATATATCTTCCACAGCTCCGAGGGCCTTTGAGAGACCCAGAACAAGCGCGTCTGCTGACTGTCTACACGGAGCACTTAAGCGGATGGGTAGGCTCATTTGCTACGATTTACGTTTGCGGCATGGCCATTAACACTTGATATATAGTTGGCATTGAACGATCCGAGACACCACTTCTCAGCCTCCGTACCTCAGTTGGCCATGAAATGCCCCATGCTCCTTGACGCAATCTTTGCATTCTCGGCGCGATATTTGAGCCGCTCCGACCAAAATATCAGCGCTCTCATGGCAGATGAATATCATTATAGTTGCGTTTGTCGGCTTATTGCCGCATTGAAAGATATTGCATGTGCGTCCGAGAGTGCATTGGCGCTGTCGACGGTCATTCTACGAATGCATGAGATGCTTAGCGATCGCAATGCTGAGGTCGACCTGCAGCGTCATTTGAGAGGCTCCCTATCTCTGTTCAGCCATAATGCAAATAAATTTGGCCCAGGAAGCCTCAAGCACACTGCCTTCTGGACATATGTCCGCCAGGAGATCCTAACCGCTCTTCGCGGCTGTTCCCCAACCAACATTGATACGTCGGATAAGACATATTACGTCGTTTTTGACGGAGATACGGACGATGATTGGACGAATAACATCATTTGGCTCACCGCACGAGTAATCAACCACTACTTTGATTCATCCGTGTCTACAACAGCGTCTGTCCATCAAGAGATGCTGGTCACTCTTGTCAATAACTGGCAGGAGAGGCTCCCTGATACCTTTAACCCGCTCTCCGCGGTTATAGATGATCATCCATTCCCGGCGATCACATACACATGCATTTGGCACAGTAAGTCGCTTTTACTTTCTCTCTATTTCGATCTGGGATATGTCATCTGACTCTTGAGCTCCCTGCCAGATGTGGCAATGCAATTCTTTCATCTTTGCAAAGTCATTTTTATCACTTCTAATCGATCCGGTGAAGCGAACCCGGAGAGTGTGGATACTGTTGGTTTACACTTGTACACCATCCTTTCCGCTGCCATTAACTGACATTCATTTCTAGGCAGACGCTGTCAAGCATATTATTCAGATCTGCGGAATTGTTCGTGGACTGTTTTCGTATAAAGAGTGTCGATACCCCGGGGCTTTGGTGAATGCTGCGGAAATATTGGCATATTGTGAGTAAAGTGAAGGGTCGCCTAATTTCCTTTAGAGAATAATGAAGGCCTCTCCATGATTCGCAAACAAACATCAGCTAATCGGACTATCAGGTGGCCGTACACTAAGAGGTAACAAATCCCAGTCGTACCTATTGGATCTACTACATCGCATCGAAGCTGAGACGACATGGGATGTAACCGAAACAGTTGAGAAGCTCAAGGAGACATGGAGTGGGGTTCCCAGGTGACTGAGTGCTGATATCCTGTAAACGTGAGTTCTTTTTTTTGTATCTACTTTATCAAGAACATTGAAAAAACCTCCATCTAACTCAGATAGACGCAAGCAATAGAGATACCCCCTGGATGTAACTAGTTTTATTACATCAACACAAGTTTCGATTTCGAAGCCACAGAACCGTAGTGCTGCTCCACCACTTTGACATTCTCAAGATCGGCCTTTGTGCCGGTGACGGCAGTAACGGTTACAGTCTGCTCTTCCCCTGGGACAAGATCCAAGGCATTGTCGCTAAAGATATACTTATCCGCAACGTCTGGGTCGAGAGTGTCAATCATGAGTTCTACACCTTTAGCCACGCCATCCTTGACTGAGACAGCAAGCTCGAAAGATCCAGCTGAGACGTTAGTATCTTTTTTCGTGACGGTAACGTCCGTAGCGGAAAAATCGAGATGCCTCAACGGCTGAGGGAAGTTGACATGGCGAGCCACCACGTCTCCATCCTTGCTGAGCTTGGTGGCAACGACTATGGACTCTTGTTTGACCCCCCATTCTTTTCCCTCAAACTTTACTTTCTGCAGTTCTGTTGAGCGATTTGGTAGCAAAGTCACTTCTTCAGATTTGGAAGCGAGTAATTTGCCATCCAAGACGGAATAGAAGGCTACCGTCATGGTCAACTTGGCCTCGGAGGTGGTGCAGTTGCTGGCCCACACATCTGCCGAGGTAACGCGTTCCACATATACACGAGTAAACTCATCGGCAGGGTGTTCTACAGTCGTCCTCGCGCACCCAACAATGATGGGCGCATAATCCCTTTTGGCGACAAAATAAGCCAGCTTAGGACGGAGGAAGGCATCGGCCAGAGACCAACTAGCGGCCGGGAAACAGTCGTTGAGCTGCCATATCAGACTGCCAGCGCACTCCTCTTGCCCGGGGCCCTTCCAAAGGCGCCGGAAAGGTCGTAGCGAGTAGTCGGTTGCCTCAGCCTGGTTGAGCTGAGTAGCATATACGTATGCCGGAAGAGAGGCGAGTTCGTACTTTTGGTTGTCAATCAAGTACATTGACAGTGTGCGCTGATCTTCTGGTGCGCAGAACCAGTTGTCAAAGGTACGAGATTGGGGATGTCTTTCGGCAGGATCCGTTATGAGCTGGCGGACGCTGTGAACAGACGGTGACGACTTCATGCCAAACTCGCTCACAAAGCGACCGGTGAGTTTCTCGTAATCCTGGTACGGGTAGCGCGGCTGATCTGCCATCCATACCCTCCAGGAATGAATGTCACCAACTGTCGGGTCATTGCTGTATGTGCCGCCCCAGGGAGAGGAGTTGTGGTAAGGGACGCGAGGGACGAGTTCGGCACAGATATCGGGGAGCATCTTGTCGTAATACCAACGCGCTGCCCAGTTCGTCTTGAGCCAGTTGTCTGGGTTCTTATCATTGATGTCGTATTCGAGATGATGCAGCTCAGCAAACATGTGGTCCTCGTTGTTTCCGCACCATAAGACGATGGACGGGTGGTGTCGCAGTCGCTTGAGGTTGTAGATGGCTTCCTCACGGATGGTGTTGGTCATGAAATCGGAGACTGGGTAAACGCCGCACCCGAGCTGAAAGTCGTGCCAGATGAGAATTCCAAGCTCATCGCATAACTCATAAAACGAATCGTCTTCGTAAAGACCTCCTCCCCACACGCGGATCATGTTTTGGTTGCCATGGAGAGCCAGCTCGATCCACTGGCGATAGCGTTTCTCATTGATCCTCGGCAAGAAGGTATCGCCAGGCACCCAGTTAGCACCGCGGCAGTAGATGGGGATCTGGTTGACCTGGAAGAAGAAGGTCGTCCCTGGAGCTCCGTTCTTGAGAGGCCGCTGCACCAGACGCAGATGGCGGATACCGACTTTGCGGATGACCTGTTGGTTACCCAGAACAGCCGTGACCGTGTATAGCGGCTGTTCTCCATAACCGACTGGATACCACAGCTTGGGGCTTGTGAGCTTGACTTTGCCGTTACCGTCGCCGGTGAAAACAGTTTCTCCATCTGGGTTGGCGATGCTGACTTGGACCGCATGCTCATTGTCATCGTGGCCCTGCAGTTCTGACGTGATAGTCAATGTTGCATCATCCAGCGAATCTGCAACATCAATATCAATGTTTAGATCGGCGATGCGGGTTACAAATGACTCGAGATAAATTGGTCGCCACGGGCCACAGGTTAGCAACGTCGGTGCCCTGTAGATTGTCATGGTCAGTCATTGCATATTGGGCGCCATCATACAAAAATAACCACTATAACAACTCACCAATCCCATCCAAAATGGCATCCGATTTTGCGGACGTTCATGCGGCAGGAATCGCCATTCCAGAACAGGTTCTTGTAGCCCTGCGCCTTTTCTAGGCGCTTGCCCTCCAGGAACGCGGAGTCGAAGAGAAGCTCAAGGGTGTTTTCCTCGCCTGCCGGCTTCAACGTATCCGTAACACCGACGCGATATTGGAGGAACATGTTGGCAGTGTTGGCTATCTCTTTGCCGTTTAGGCTGATCTTGGCATATGTGTCGAGGCCATCGAAGACCATGGTGTGAGACACCTTGCCAGTGCTTGATGGAGCTTGCGGCGAGGTAAATGACGTCTTGTAGAGCCATTGCTTCTCGCCGACCCATTGAATCAGCTCGCTGTTTCTATCTTTGGGCGGATCTGGGATGAGGCCATGATGTAGGAGGTCGAGATGAATGACGGTGGGAAATTGGGCAACAGGTCTGAAGTCCGAGTCTGGCTTGTCTGCTTGCTTGAAGGTCCAGCCATCATGAACATCTGTCCGTAGGTATGTGGCCATCGTTTAGGTTGAGATGGGAGTTTGTAGGAATCTTTGAGAAAAGGTCGAGGTATGCAGGATCAACAACCAGGGGCCTGACAGCTGAGCTGAAATAAGAAGAGTTCCAGCTCGAGTTTATTTGCTCAATTTCAGGAACGGCAGTGCTTATCTTACAACTCTTTTCTCCAGAAAGGCAAAACTGATAAACACATGAGAGAGGCGCAATGCGATCTCGGATGGTCTCCTCTTCCCCACGCCTGGGCAACCATTCACGATGCTTCATGTGAGCATGAGATGGAAAAGCTCCCCCCGCATCCTCCACATTTCCTGATGGGTCTTTACCATGTGCTACCCCGCGAGTTTTCTCGAGATGCCCGTCATATGGGGAAGGGACTCTAATACGACGATGTTTGTTCAAAGGGTTGTCAGGCCTCGCCTATTGAACGGGTTGGGAAAATAGCCGAGTTGGCGATGGAGAAAACGCCGGCATTTCAACTCCACACTTTTTCGTTGGCGGATGGTTAACTAATAGTGACGGATGTCGATTCAAAACTGTGTGGATCGAGGTTTGTAGTATCGATTCCCGGCGGGGTAAATGACTGACATAGCATGATACTCTTATACATGTATTTACCAATTCACTGTCGATTCTCAGTTACAGCTAATCTTGTGGCAAATATGTGGGCAAATATGTAGCTTTATGACATTGATTTGAATGTCCTATTCCTGACCTCTCTGCTAGGACTTCTTAACTACTGGTGCTTGATACTTTCTGCTACTATGGCTATATTCCTCTACTGTCTAGTATCATCATCAGCTAGAAATATATTCTAGACACGGGATACTGAATCTCCCCAACTTGGTAATTTTCTCACACTTGTATATACGCAGTCGAGAAGAAAACTCCCGCACTGTGTCTTCATACCAAAGCAACTATAAGTTGCCCGCATAACCGGCTAAAGCACGTTCACATCTCCACTTGGCTAGCATTCCCCAGACTTTACCAACTTTCAAGCGTGAGTTTCCCCAGATTCTGCTGGTACGATTACACGATGAGTTTCGACTTGCTGAAATTTCAGCTCGGGGTAAACGTTTAAAAGGCCAATAGACGACATTCGTAATGCTTATATCAAGGAACCGTCGCCAGCCACGACGCTAGACGTGAACGAGTTTTCCATGTTAGACGAAGATATCCGGGCTAGAACTTGTTGTTGGCTTTGTCATATCGGCATTGAGGTACCATCTCAACCTGGACCATACGCTGCCGATCCCTTAAGCCACGGCGACAAAGTCCGGTGCCGGGGTCGGTTCATGGCCATTGTAGTCGAATTTCAAGCACGAGGTTTCCCCCACTTGCTGTCCTAGACTAAGAGCCGGCTGCTTTCGAAGCTGAAGACACCGTCGATGGCTCCAGGTCGTGAGAGTCATGAGAAGCCTTGGAGTGTTAGTGGCTTGATGGGCAGAGAAAGGGGGATGCTTCCCCTCCTTTACTTGCGTGATCGTCTATGCTTCCCTCGTGTGTATATATAGACCCCCCCGTCGTGACTGCGGAGATGCAGCCGATATGCATGAACCCTCATCTCGTCACAACTGCTGTCGATCACTTGTCCTCTCAACTCGCAGCTGGTGAGAACAGAACTGTCGTGACTTGAAGATGAAGTTCGCCAACGTGCTCAAGTCGTCGGCTCCGCCGCCCACCACCTTCAGGCTCGCCAACAAGGAGTTCCCAAAGGTGACTTGGTGGCGTGAGCCAGGTCTCCGTCATCTGTACTTCTTGCTTCTTGTGCCGCTCATGACGTCCATGGTCAATGGTTACGATGGCTCCATGATGAACGCTCTGCAGACGAGTGGGCAGTGGCAGGACTATTTCCACCATCCGCGTGGCTCGTTGCTGGCGTTTTACAACCTTGCTTTTGCGCTTGGGCAGTTGGTTGCTGTGATTCCGTTTCCGTTTCCCGCTACTATTGCTGATAAGCTGGGGAGACGATGGGGAGTTGTGATTGGAAGCATTATTGCCATTATTGGAGTGGCTGTTCAGAGTGCTAGTATCAATGGTGAGCAACTCTTTTCCTTTCAGATATAGATTGTGTGACTGACCTCGTGGTTGTTGTGATATATAGTCGGCATGTTTGTTGCGGGAAGATTCATTGTTGGCTTCGGCGTCATGATTGACCACGGCAGTGCGCCTCTCATGGTGACTGAACTGGCTCATACCCAGCATCGAGCCACAATTACGGCGATTTACAACTCGACGTGGTACTTTGGATCCATTGTCGCCGCATGGGTGACCTTTGGGTATGTATCGTCTATTATAAGTAGCTTGAGCATTCAAGTGTTGGGAGGCTCAGGACTGACCGAAACAGCACTATCAACATCAACAGTGAATGGGCCTGGCGTATTCCCTCCATTATCCAGGCTTTCCCTGCCATTGTGCAGATTATGTTCATCTGGTTCTTGCCTGAGGTGAGCATCTCAATTCCGCCCCTCTTCCACTTCAGTTCTCCGTCTGATATGATGAAAACCAGAGCCCCCGTTTCCTCATTGCAAAGGACCGCCACGAAGAAGCCCTCGACGTCCTCGTCAAGTTCCATGGCAACGGCGAGCGTACCGACTTCGTGGAGACGTCCTTCACCGAGATCAAGGAGACGCTGGCCCTGGAGCGAGAATTTTCTTCCAAGAGCGGCTGGCTCGACCTCATCAGTACTCCAGGTAACCGCAAGCGCACACTCATCTGCTACCTGCAGGGCTTCTTCTCGCAGTGGTGCGGCAACGGCTTGGTCTCGTACTATCTGGTGCCCGTGCTGGAGACGATTGGCATCACCAAGAACGCCGAGCAGGCGGGTCTGAACGGCGGCCTGCAGATCTGGAACTTCATTGTTGCTATTTGGGCAGCGTTTAACATTGACCGGTTTGGACGCAGGAAGATGGTGCTGGGAAGTACGGGGTCGATGATTGTGTGTTTTGTGTTGTGGACGATTCTCTCGGCGCGGTATAGCATTACGGGGGATGGCGCTGATGCAAAGGGCGTCATTGTCATGATCTTTTTGTTTTACACGGCCTTCAACTGTGGATGGTGAGTCTTGAGTGTTGTGTCTGATGAAAGCACTGGACGATGCTAATGGTGAGAGCGTTTATTTAGGCAAGGTCTGGTGTTGGCGTATCCCATTGAGATTCTGCCATATGAGATTCGCGCCAAGGGTCTCAACGTTACGTTTTTCGGTGTCAGCTCATCATGTAAGTGCACCTATTCATTACTTGTACTTTCCAAGATGTTGTTGGCTGATTCATTGTACCAGTGCTCAATCAGTACATTAACCCCGTCGGCATTGAATCTCAGGGGTGGAGATTCTACATTGTGAGTTTCAAGCCTACAACTGTTTTTTGTTTTATATCAATCTAACAATGACAAATGTAGTTTTACGACGTGTTTCTCTGTGTTATATTTGTCGTCGTGTACTTTCTCTGGGTGGAAACAAAGGTATAATCTCTGGCAACTCTTGCCTGTGTTCAACATGCTGACCTTTGCCTTTTCTTTAGAACACTCCCCTGGAAGAGATTGCCAAGTTCTTTGACGGCGAGGAAGCCAAGGTGGGCGGCGGGGCCTCAACCAGCACTTCAGCCGCGGTGCTTTCTCAGATGAGGGCCAAGAATGCGGATTTCGATGAAGAGGTGACACATGTCGAGACACATGAGGCTTGAGGGAATGGAGGGTGGTGACTTTGTTCTTTAGTTTACATGTAGTGGTGAAGAAGTGATTCTTGAAGCTTTCAACTTTGCGCTGAATGAGAGTGAGTTACGCCGGAGAGTAAAATTGGAGCGAAAAAGATGCAAGTGAGAAGAAGCAAAAAAATGCGTCATCCGGAACTCGAATCCGGGCCTCAACTTTTCGGTTTGGAATGGAAGAGTTGAATCCTAACCCCTAGACCAATGACGCGCTTCAGGTGGGAACATGCTTGGGAAACGAAGACCCACTGACGAATCTCGAGGGTGAGATTTAGGCTATATAAGGGCATTGAAGTCTTAGTATTACCATAGAGCAGAGGGCGAAATGAGTTGTTGCAAACCCTGAAATCACATATTCACAGGTTACATTTAGGTTCGTTCAACGCTATATACAGGCATCCTCATCAAGTCTGCATGTGCCTCACAACAACTCCATATCTCACCAATCCCATCACAGCACCGAGAAGTATCGCCAGCGGCGCCGAGAGACCAAAATATCTGCCTCCAACATAAGCCGCCGCTGTAACAACCACCCACCATGGATCATCGCCCAAGCTCTTCCCGGCCTGGAAACCCTCATCTACATATCCAACCTGCCAAATTCGATACACGGCCGTGTAGATTAAACCAACAGCGGCTGCATTGATCCCTCTGACCCCGGATTTGACCCATGGCTTGCTCCTCAAGACCTTCCAAACGCCCATTGTGCCATGAACCAGGACGATCCCTGGCAAGAAGATGCCCAGATACGCGACGATTGCTCCTAGAATGGCGGGTTGCCCAATCCCAATAGCGGTAAGACCTCCTAGGAATACAGCAAAATTGAAGTTTGGCCCTGGAAACGCTTGTATGATGGCAAGCCCAATAAGAAAGTCGCGCGGACTGACCCATCCCTCTGCTACGACGTATTCCCTCAGCAGCGGAATCACGACAGGCCCGCCGCCAAAGATGATGGTTCCGGCGAGGTAGAGGTTAGCAAAGAGCTTATACATGATAGGAGGGTTATGCAAGACACCACGGAGCACCATCACGACAATAAAGGTGAGAAAGAAGGTTGCAATGACAGCAGTTCCAGTTCTCCACGAAAAATTCAGCTGATACTCGGTTGGTATGACGCGCGACTCAGATTCGTCTCCAGAGGTTAGTTCATGTCCTTGAGGCGTGGAGGTAGAGTTATTGGAGTCCATGCGACTATCTCTTTCGATTGCATCGTTTTCCACTTCCGTCGATGATGGGCTCGCACGTGTGAAGATGTTCTTGACAGATCGCCCAAGACGATGAAGCCAGCGGTAGTCGTGGGTAACAGCAGCGAATCCAGAAGCGAACATGAGGACTGGGAAGTACCAGAGCGCATTGTATAACATTCCGGCAGAACCAGTAAGAAAGACGAGAATTCTGGTCAGCTTGTCTGTAATTGCTTTGTTCGATAGCTCAACCGCCGCCAAGGCGATAATTCCAACAGTTGCGGCGTTGAGCCCAGAGAGAAGGGCGTAAACTGCGCGAGGTAAAGTATTCCCTATATTGGAGACGCCGATGGAGAGGCCAAACATGCCCAGAGCTCCGGGCAGACTGGGCAGTCATGTTACTCTCAGCTGCTGCATGCATATGATTGTACGTACGAAAATCTGGGCTCACCTCCAGATGAAGAACGCAAGCAGAGCTCCAAACAAGCCGTTGTTGATTAAATTAACACAGTAAAGCATCTTTGTGCTTGCTGGCCCTGATAGAGCTTGCGAGACGCTGAAGAGCTCCTGGTACTATTATGGGATGGTTTCTGTTAGTCTGCTGAATGGGTAGGATTGTCTCTATTTGCGCGTACCATCTGCTCATCGATCCAATTGAGCTTCAACACAAACTTGTCATGAAACTGTTTCGAGGTTAGACAACTACATCAAAAGTTGGTCATGGTTTTGGCGTACATACAATTTTGAAATGGACCGGCGGCCCGCCAAACGCGGTCATGCCGAGGTGCCAGTTGTTCCGGATCGTCGGCCATGCTTGAATGAAGCCTTTTTGGAGCTTATGCTCCCAGTAGCTGATGGACATTGTTCACCGGCTGATTCTGACTCCTTCATAGATTGTTTAGATTGTCAGTTACGAGAAAGCGGAACGTCGCTCGACGGACCGAGTCATCATGTTTATTAAGGCAGCTGTTAGACTAATGTGGGGAGGCGGCACGCCATACACCATGTTTTTAACGCCATCCAAATATCCGCCAGATTTGTTTAAACAAAGTCAATTGTTACTGCCCGGCTAATTAAGACCAAAGCCCATATGCTGTTGTAGTAGCTAGCTGTGATGTGAGCACCAATCCACGGGGACGGGAATCACATTGCCCTGGGTGTAGGCAAACCACTAAGTCGACTGGGGATTTGGCGGCTTGATCAGTGCCAAAATTGCGGAAAATGTAATACAACTGGGTAACCGGCGAGCCATGGTGTGTTCCTCTAAGTAAATGTTGCAACTATTGTCAATTTTCTTATTTCAGTTTCCCAGCCAGCATATGCAGACGGAAGATACTGGTGGACCCCAGCAGGTCTCGGCTGACTCCTCAACACAGATGTTACGACTTCATGCTCCAGTACTACCTAGGTACCTACTAGGTAGCAAGCGGAGGACAGAAAAACCGAGGCTCAGAAGATTACAAACACCCACGCGTTAAATTATTATACACCTGTTCTTGAAATATTTCCTACTATATCTATATTTCTTTAGTATTTACAACTATATTCATATTTCTCTAATATCTACTACTATATTTATATTTCTTTAATAACTGTTACTATAGTTTTATAATTAAATTCGGGCGCTACCTGGATAGGCGTTGCCTTATAAAAGCCCTACGTACTGAGTTAATTAAGTGCTTATATTGTTATATGTATGCACTCATTTATCTTGCGGTCTCGCTTTTTCTGACGTCCGCTTGCCTAGGTACCCAGTAGGTACCACTAAGACCTTACAGGTGGTCAAGCTTAAGATGAAGCGTGTGGTGATGTATACTGGAATATAGGTATACCTGGAATTTAATTGGGAATGGCAATTCATATCGGACATCTGAAAATAACTAATGCCTCTCAAATAAGCAAAGAGGCTTTGTATAGAGTTTTTCGTCTCATGATAGCGGGATACCTGCCAAGCCCCCCAATTTCCCACCAGTCGTTGGAGTAACTCCATATTCCCACGCGCTATAGTACCTGTGTCTGCAAGCACCGGCAAAACACCGGCGGCCTCCCGCCTTGGTACAATAGCGGCCAGGGGTCAAGCCTTACGTGGCTGAATTTCCATCAAGGCACACGCAAAGCACACGCAAAGCACATGCTGGCTCAGCGCCCCACGCCAAACCATTTCGCCTCGCGATAAACCGACCCTTTGCTGTCCATTTCCTCGATTATCCATTTCCAACGCCGGGCCTGCGATTGTTGGTGCGGCAACCCGCTGTCTTTTTCTTTCATCTACTTTCTTCTTCAGCTTGATCCAAGCCGTTTCAATTTGTGCTACAGCCTTCAATATGGATGCGCCGGAGCCCGAACAGACCCCTTTCGCGGCTGTTACAGCCCACACCACCAGGATCCAGAGAGTACGTCTCGCGCCTTGTGCTTCGCTTCGCTTCGTCTTCGTCTTCGTGGAGCCGCTGATGTGCTAACTGTGGCTACTATAGCAATACCAAGCGATTCTGGACCAGTCAACCCCGTATGTCATGTACCGATGGATCGGCACCGCCGTGGCCTTGCTTCTCTTCTTCCTGCGCATTTTCGTGGCGCAAGGATGGTACATTGGTAAGTCTCTGTTGCAACAAAAGTAGAAGAGAAGAAGGCATGAATAAAAAGAAGAAAACACTAACGCTTTCTTGTGCCACTCAGTCGCATACGCCCTGGGAATCTACCTCTTGAACCTTTTCCTGGCCTTCCTTCAGCCCAAGTTCGACCCCTCGAGCGATGCCCTGGATAGCGAAATGGAGGACGGCTCTGTTGGAACACTCCCCACCAAGCAGGACGAGGAGTTCAAGCCCTTCATCCGACGCCTCCCCGAGTTCAAGTTCTGGTACTGGGCCACGAGAGCCATTGGCATCTCGTTTGTCTGCACTTGGTTCGCCATCTTTGACGTTCCCGTGTTCTGGCCCGTCTTGGTCATGTACTGGTTGATCCTATTTGTCCTCACGAGTATGAAGCCCTCAAAACCTGTGCCTGTCATCACTCTGCTAACCAACCGTTTCCAGTGCGCCGCCAGATCCAACACATGATCAAGTATCGCTACGTGCCCTTTACCATGGGCAAGAAGTCCTACGCCAAGGACCGATCGTAAGCAGACTCGCCAATAACCGCGTGGAGACGAAGCCTCTGTCCCGGGGACTCGAAACAAAAACTGGGAGCGGTGATTTCTTTCGAAAGGGGTTGGCTTGAGCCGTGTGTAACAGATTGCAGCTGCTGACACGTATCGATGCGCCTTTGTGGGCTAATGTAAAAGATGTGTGTGCGGCGAATGACGGGACTTTGAAGGAGAAATCTCTCTTATTTATAAAAGCAGCAAACGAGGGCCAGTCATTGAATCCTTAAAAGGCGTAGACGGATGGGTTAGACTACGGATGACTGATACGAAACCGCATGGGAACCAGGTCTTGGAGACGAAACTCTCACAGAGAGCTAGCTACCTATAACTTAATTTAATGAAATAGTTTTGTACGCCTAGGGCACCAAGAGCTGATGGGCAATTTGTGATTCTAATTGTTCACCTTTATTCTGTTCTTTTTTTTTTTTCCCCTTATTTTTGTTACCCTTTGATTCTCTTATTCGGCTCGAAATTGCTGCTGTTCGGCGCTCTGCAGCAAGCAAAAGTCGCGTGGTGGGGAGCCTGCAGAGGCTACCTCAGATTTGACAGCCTCGCCTCTCAGGTGCGGCGCGCGACTCTTTTTTTTTCCCTCCATCATTACCGACACTTGGCCACGCCTTTCAACCGCCCGTCAGACCAGCAATTGAGCGCCTGTACGCCGAAGCCTCTCAAGCGATTCGTTCATTTACAACCTCATCTACAGCAGCTGCTCCATTCATTCGACCGACCAGAAGCGAGTAGGGGAAAAGGGACAAGGGCCAAGATGTCGTCCTCGGGAGCTCGCTCAGGCGAGCGCATGATTCACCAGGACTTCATTGCGCGAATCCGCTTCTCCAACGCTCTGCCTCCGCCGCCGAACCCCCCGAAGCTGCTCGATATTCCCAACACCGGCCTCGCGAGCGGCCAGTACACGACGCCTGGGTTTGCATCACGTCTGGCGCGAGAACAGCCGCTGAACATTGAGGCCGATGCCGAGCTAGGTATGCCGCTCGATCTGGTGGGCATGCCAGGCGTGTTTGATGGAGATGAACGATGTGAGTTTGACTTGTTATTGTTGTTGTTGTTGTTGTTGTTGTTGTTGTTGTTGTTGTTGTTGTTGTTGTTGTTGTTGTTGTCTATTCAAGCTTGAACCAATCTGATCTGGGGGACGTGCCTGTAGCAATCCAAGCATCATCACAGCAGTTAGCCATCCACCCTCACGATCGAGCCCTCCTGAGACCTATTGCGGCCCTTGGTAAGCCCAAGGTCGCTGAAGCAAACGTCTCCTTCCTCCGCCGAACAGAATACATCTCGTCCCTGGTACCGAAGCGATTCGAGGCGAACCATCCTAGAGCTCTGCTAGCCAAGAATCGACGACCGGTCAAGCGCCCAGAAGCAGCCGCCGACTCACCCCAAGTCATCAAACGCAAGATCGACAAGGGCTTCGAGCTTGCGGAACAAGATCTCAAGGACCCTAAGCGTGTCAAGCATCCTTCCAAGAAGCACCTCAAGCTCGTCGAAGCGGTGCCCCTGCTGCCCGATCTGGACGCGTTCCCCGACTCCGGTGCCTATGTCACCATCAAATTCCTCACGAACCCCGTCTCGAGCTCCAACGAGTATGATAGTCGTCTCCGCAGCGGTTTGTTCAGGCCGATAGACCGCACGCCCGCCGAGGAAGCGGCGCTGGAGGCGGCCATGGAAGCCTACGCGCAGGATCCCGCCAACAACCCCAAGCCAGCCAACCTGATGAACTACGACTTTTACCTTGGCCAGACTCGTGCTGATGCGGACCGCTTCCGCCGCAAGTTTGACGTCGATGATCCCAACCATGATGACGAAGACCTGTATACCCACAAGGCCGACACGGGCGGCTACTTTCAGTTCAACAGGATCAGGGCGTACGAGACGGCTCAGGAGACGGAGCTCGATCACCCAACCAAGTACGAGGACGAAATCATTCTCGCCTTCAATGACGACGACAGTTTCCCCAAGCAAAAGGCCATGTACTACTACCCCATCATGCAAAAGTCCACTATCCGGCCCCAGCGTACCAAGAACATTGCGCGCACAAACTATGGTCTTTCTGAGGATGATGAGGCGCAGGTAGTCGACCAGCTGGATCTCACCGTTGATGATCCCACGGAGGAGATGAGGAGCGCCATGAAGATGTACACACAGCATCCTCTTGGTTGGGAACAGGACGAAGGTGGCGATGAGCAGCATGTGGAGCAGTCCATCGAGGAGGCCGACGTCGATGCCGATGGCGAAGAGGCCGAGCGCAACGGTGCTTCAAGCCCGGTCGGAGGACAAGACCGGTCTCCTTCTGCGGACCATGACGCTGAAGGTGATGAGGATGAGGATGAGGATTGAGCGTAGCTGGCGGTGGATGACGTTGTCATCGTATTTACCAGTCTTTGTTACATGAACGGAGGAGTTTCCTTTTTTAACTAATCTTTTTTTGGTTTTTCAGAAATTTGAGTCTTGAAAAGCGATGAACTTCGCCATTTTCGGAGAGCATCAGAGACAAGGAAAATGAACGTGTAGGATTGGTGGCCGGGGAGTAGTTGGGGTTTGCACACAAAGGTTTTCATCGGGTATATAGATGGACAGTAATGAAAATGCGTTGCCTTTTCGAGCGTCAATGTGTTGCACTGAGAAATGATTATCAATTACCTATATAAAGAAGAAGAAATAGGCGAGTAAAGAAGTAAAATATTTATTCATAGTATGTTATGGTGATGTATGCCAACGAGCGAAGGTACAACTGCGGCGTGCTCGTTCCGCGATTCGCCCAATTCACGATGCAATCGTCATATATAGATAATAGTAGTAAACAATGGTATCATTTCATATAAACGCCCTGTGATGCCTGCTTCATTTTATTCCTCCCATCCATGCTCGCTCCCTCACATCTCGAATCCAAGATTTTCTCTATTGTCGTCAATCACCCGTCCATATCTGCGATTCTTCGTCAGCACATCATCCATTATACAGGGAAAGTGAGTATAGGAAGACTCACTCTAACAGCAATCTGAAAAACCACACCTCCATGTCTTCCTTCCTAATCGCCTTGTTCGCCCACTCGCGGCTGTCCTTTGCAATCTTCTGCCCTTCAGAAGATCCCTTGGCGTCTTGGTCGATGAAGCGAACTGCTTCAAGCCAGTCGTCTCCCTGTAAACTCAGCGGCACGTAGTGCACCCACGGCTTGAGCCACTCGTTGTGCCATTCGCGAAACAGGGCGAGCTTAAAAGTCAAGCTCTGGCTCTGCAAAAAGGCATAGAACCTGCCGGAGAAGGCATTCCCATCAATATCAACCAGATACTTGTATCCCCAAGCGTCCTGCTGGTCGACGGGATCGACCACATCGAAAAACTCCTTTTGCGCCTCGCAGTCGCCGGGGTCGCATTGGCCGACGTGAGAAAAGTGCACGTCGATGAGCTCCTGGTAGTCCCCGCGCGGGACCTCCTTGGCCGTCCACTTGGGGCTTTCGGCGGTGCCGCCGTTGGCCATGACCTTGGCTTGCTCCTTGGAGTTGATCTTCTGGACAAAGTGTTGGCGATGGTGCCTCCTCCAGCCGCCGTTGCGGCTGTAGCCTCCGGTGGTGGAGCCTCGCCAGTAGAGCTTGCTCTCTTTGTCTTCCCACGGCATGTCGTTGCTTTCGTTGTAGGCGACTTTCTTGTACCAGTACCACGGGGACGGATAGATGATGTCCCCGTAGGATGAGATCTTGGACTGCGAGAAGATGGGGAGCAGATCATGTGTGATTTTGAACGAGTTTGGACGATCGAAAAAGCCATATGTCGAGCTGAGAGACGGCGTGAGGCAGATGTCGGACATGGCAGTTGTGTTGTACACAAAAGCAAGATTGCTGATGCCGTATCTGCTCAAGTCGTCGGCGCGCTCATCTTCAAGAATCCTTGCCTGGCTATCAGGAGGACAGGACATGCGGGAGTCTGCCCAAGTGGATTGGTACTTGATCGTGTTAAACCTCGAGAGCTTCGTCTCTTTGAACCTCTTCCCGTCGCTGAGATCTGGTGGCTTTGCTGAGAATTCATTGACGAGCTTCTTCTCCCCATTCAACAGGGGCATGTTCTTGTCCTTGGCCTTGTTCACAAGCCGCATCAGATCGTCGTGCGGAACCACGACACGAGGCTCATCGTGAATGTTGAAGGCCAAATCCATGTCCGGCAGGTACTGTATAAAATGTTCCATCATGCCCTTTGTCGCGTTCTTCTGCCACTCATATCCATGCTCCATATGCGTGATTTCGTGACCGCGTATGGCAACTCCAAGCAGTCCATTATCATAGCCAAGCGCCTCCGTCACCCTTGCGCGAATCGTCTGCGGCTGCAGGCCCCAAAAAGGCGTCATCATGTCGTGAATCATGTCGAACTCATCAATCAACTGTATATCATTGCTCACGGCGAAATTGTACCATTTGTCAAAATGGGGAGGTGGAGGTATGCCATATCGCCTGCGATACTCTTTGACGGCCTCCTTCAGGGACTTGGACTGTCGCTTCTTGACCTCTGCAAACTCATGCTGCGCATCTTTCATGAGATGGATGATTGGATGTGATGTTTCATCGGGAGCCTTCTTTGGCTGTGGCCCGCCTGTTATAACGGGTAAATTCTCCCATGTCACCGGACCTCGAGAGACGGGGCTTGATTTTGTTGATTTTGTTGTTGGTGGCGGTGATGAGAGGGGTGCTTGTAGCGGCTGTTGATGCTGCTTCTGCTGCTTCGGAGGCTGTATAGGGGGGTAATCCTCAGGATTGAAGCCGTCGCTAACAATCTCAAGAATTGAATACGCGCAAATGCATAATAGCAAAACCGTCACGACCAGATAATATGAGCGCCGCCGCATGTTGAAATCTGGCGTTGAAAGCCAATTGCTCAGCGCAAGTGAGACAATTGCATCACCACCCCAAGAAATAATCAGAGCAAAGAAAAGAGCCACTAAGTTTCCAGCCTTAAGGAAATGGCATAAATAGACAAAATTCCGGCGCTTCAATAATCCAAAATCGATAAATCCATTGCAATGCACTCGGGCCAAGCAAAACAAGACCAGACGGGGATTTGTTTACTTTCCACAGGTGACGACGGCAACCCATTCAGGCACTTTGTTGGTGGGGATTTGCTGGTGGCGCCAGGCTTACCGATTTATTACATAAGGAGACCTCGCCATGTAACTGGCTGGAGATGATTTCAGAGCTCAAGAGATCAAGAGATCAAGATGCCTCCCCATTGATCTTATAAAACGGGCAGATGTACCAAAGCGATAGATGCAGTTGGAAGAAAGCAAGGATTTCATTTCACTGCTATTCATACCTGTGTTCGTGGATTTACCCAAACGAAGTTATGTAAGCCGTCAAACAGAGAGCATATATGCATCCTCATAGCATAACATGACCAAAAGTTGAACAGCACCGGGTAACGAGATTGTTCAAGTAAAATTGGGCTTTCTCATCTGTGATTTATTGCCAGTGTACGCTAAGCTAGAGGGTGACTATCCCAGTGTAAATCAGAGCATGCCGATTACCGTCACCGCGACCACCATTGGAACGCCGAGAATGCCGCAAATTCACTTTTTTCATTTCTCTCTCCGCCATTTTTAGTAGAAGAAGCCGATGATCTTGCCGGCAACGTGCTTTCGTCGGGCCTCCTCGTGGTCCATGATACCAGCAGAGGTGGTGAGGATGACATAGCCGAACTGACGGGCAGGCAGCAGCTTGACGACCCACTTCTCGAGATCGGCCAGGCGGACGTTGTAGCGGGGGGAGATGACACCAGTCTTGTTGAGACGGCCGTTCAGCTGGACGACAATCTTGCCGGAGCGGTGGTCATCGACCTCCTCGAACTCGCCAATGTAGCCTGCAGAAATGGTATTAGCAATGTTGCGGAAGGCCTCAGGCGATTCGAAACGTGAACAAGATAGGCATAGAATCTGAAGAAAATCTACCGCAGGATAATATATCGGCAACTTATAGGGGCTGGACCGTGGTGCGGTATCGATCGTAGCCCTAGTTATCATGCCGAAGGGAGGCAAGGGAAATTGTTTCGCGCAAAAGCAATGGGGTAAAAAAAACACAAATCGTCAAAACGTACCGTGGCGCTGCATGACCTGGAGGAACTTGACAATGACCTTGGAGCTAGGTCGGATCAGGACCTGACGCTTGCCGGCCTTCTCGGCATTGTTGATGGAGTTGAGGGCGTCGTGGAGAACGGAAGTGCGGACCATTTTGGCGGTATTGATGAAAAGGAGATTCTCAAGTCGGGTTTGGAAATGAGGTATCTGCCATGGGGGAAACACAAGTTAGACTCGGAGTGGCCCAGAAGCGTGGAGAGTGCCCTCAGCGATCCGTCGACGAGGGTTCAGCCCGCTCATTGCCGAAGGGGAAGCAGCGTATCGAGAAACGCCAGCCAAAGCCGTTGTGTGCCAAACAAACAGAAACCGCATGATGGATGCATCATCGCGCGTCCATTGTCGCTCATCGGGGCCGGCGTCTACGATTTCTGTCCCCAGCCACGATAAAAGGCGTCATCCTGCCAGGTCCGAATCGCCGTCAGCGGTGACCAAGGCCATACATACCTCTTTGGAGTTTGACTGAAGAAGTGAAAGTGAGGTCGTGGAGCTGCAACGCCGCGATGGGAAAAAAAAAAATCGGGCGCTGGTATGGGGCCCGCCTCGGGTGGTGCGTTGTGTGCCCTGGTGGTCCGTGCGCGTCAAAATGCCCTAAGGGTACGCACTCTTGGCACACTCGGTTACCTTGATTTCGGCAAATCCCCGTGATCCTCAATCTCTACTACCACTTGTCGCGCACGACGCAAAAACCCCGTCACTAATTCTTTACACGTCAATTAATCTTCGAGGATCGCCCGACGAGAACAACAATCAAGATGGTGAGTTTTCTCACCTGGATTTCGCGAATCGCCAACGTCGGAACGACGGATGCTCTTTTTTTGCCCGCCATGCGAATGCACATGCACCAAAGAAGAAAATGAGCCCCTCGCCGGTCCTTGTCGATTGCGAAAATACCCCCCCTTGACGATTGGGAACGCAGCGCTAACCAGGGAATTTTTCTTGCAAAAAGTCGGACGTAGAAGAGAACAACGCCCCCGAGGTCGCCGAGGAGGTTGAAGTTTCCGGAGATGCCCCCAAGGGCCAGATGTCCGTTCTGGACGCCCTCAAGGGTGTTCTCAAGCTCGCTCTCATGCACGACGGTCTCGCCCGCGGTCTCCGAGAAGCCTCCAAGGCTCTTGACCGTCGCCAGGCTCACATGTGCGTCCTGAACGAGAACTGCGAGGAGGAGGCCTACAAGAAGCTGGTCATTGCTCTCTGCAATGAGCACAAGATTCCTCTCATCAAGGTTCCCGATGGCAAGCAGCTCGGCGAGTGGGCCGGTCTTTGTATGTGATATCCCGGCGGGGTGGAAGAGAAGAGGGAGAAGACGATTGACTTACACATTGTTTTAGGCGTTCTGGACCGTGAGGGTAACGCCCGCAAGGTCGTCAACTGCTCTTGCGTTGTCGTTAAGGACTGGGGTGAGGAGTCTCAGGAGCGTTCCATCATCCTGAACTACTTCCAGACTTCCCAGTAAGGGTATGGACGGCGTTGATTTAAAGGGGTATAGAGGTGCGGTCTTGGTTTCTTTTCAGGACGCGTGAAAAAAACGACTTTCTTTAGGGTTGTACTCTAGGCCTTATATCATGGCCATCTTGCATGACGGGAAAAATAAAAAAGGAATTTAAAGAATCATCTAATATTGCTGGCTCTTTTTTGCACACTAATGCTCTCTGATAAAACATGCGGTTATCCATTTTTCTCTTTCATTTCCGCCCCTCGACCTATAGACTCGTTATAAACCATGCGTGACAATGGGAATAACCGTTCAAAACTCACCATGATGATATGATAGCCAAACGGAGTCTTGGCCTCTCCAATTTTAGGATTGCTCGTAGTGCTTGGCTCCAAGGAAAAGGCAACTTCTTCAAATGTAGGATCCAGGCTCCCCTTTATCTTCCAACCTAGAGAACCCCCTGCCGCGAATAGAAACAATATTATCAGCAACCCATCTCCAGAGAAACACCAGTTGATAAAATGCCGGAGAGCGAAAAGGAAAAGGCGATTTCGAATACCTTGTCGTGCCTTGTCTTCTGAATAGGCCCGTGCCACCTCGTCAAATTTGACACCCTCGCTCAGCTTCAGCAAAGCCTCTTCCTTCCTGGCATGTTTCTCGCACTTTTCATCATCAGCATCTCATTACATATTCTTTGCTCCAATCCGGAAATAGTTGGTCATTGGAGATTCGAAGGGGTTAGAAGGAGTATAGCTCGTATTCATTCGTAAATGATCCCAGCGCACTTCGAATTCTCTAGACATACCAGAATGTGACGAACGTTGATAGACATCGCCCCCTTTGCCTTGCCTCCTCCTTCTTTGCCCTCAGAGCCTTTTCCCTTGCCGCCGCCTTTATCGCCGGACTTTTTATCGTTCTTGCCCATCGTTCAGGTCTTGTGTAAGTGAGTCGGCCAATGGTTGTATGGGTGAAGTTGGTCGATTTGATGAGCCCCGCCGCCGGGAAAGCCCCTCCAAAATAGAAAGCTATCAGACCCTGGCTTTTAGTAGACAACTGTTTATCACAACTTCGTCCGACAAAAAAAAAACACAGTGAAAATGTGATGTTACGCCAACAATGCCTCTCGCATTTCATAAGATGGGAGCAAACAGAATGCTCTACTGATTTGGGGTATCCCGGTTATCTTCCTTGAGTCCCATGTCACGCATTCCGTAACTGTATCTTGCGTGCCGGGCCGTCGTCAAAGCAGCGCCAACCTCGAGAGCGCGTCTCCATTGTCGCCGCTCCATGCGTTCTTGCGCCTTCATCAACTTCTAGTCCAGGAAGCTTTGCTCGCCGTGGTGTTGTCGAATCATTTCGCCTTCGAATTTCTCAAAGAGCAACCAATCGTCCAGCTGCGAGGGGCGAGGCACTTTAGCAATGTCTGCCACGTTCGGCTGGCCCGAGATTCTCTCCAAAGTGATGATGGTTCGATGCAGGCGAGTCTGTAAATTCTGCTTATGACTATATCGTTTGATGGTATATCTATAAACCGAATCAGCAACCGTAATAAATTACCTTCAAATGAATGAATGGAGAATGATTGTTTACAGTCCGTCATATCGTATACCAGCCTTCGGGGAGAGTGGGCTCCTGAGCCGGTGACCTCTAAGGATCCGTATTTGGGTACCAACGCAGGAGATCAAGGAGACGTGTGTTTCCGAGAGCTTTGCTTCTCGCATGTAGCGAACCGTTCCCGAGGGCAGGACCTCTTCTCGGCCTGTAAGTAACGGAAGCGCCGCAGCCCCATATCTGCCCTTTGTTGGAGTCTCGATGATGCTTCCTACGATGCCGTCTCGGTGCGCACATGCCAGGTTCAGCCACTAGCTAGTAAGCGATATCAGTATGTTGGATTGCCGATGGCTTCCGGTCTCTTCAAGCTTACTGCCCTGGTTTGAACTGAAGGTTCCACTCAAGCTCCGACAGGGTCCTACACTTCTTCGCCTGCCATAGTTCCTAGCCATCAGAGGCAATGTTGTTGAAAATGACGTCTTTCAGAGTACCAGTGCTTGACAGATCTTGATGTCGGACCTGATCAATGTTGAAGTACTTTTCGCGAAATCTGGCCATCCATAGCCTCTGCAGCCTCTCAGCCATGACTATGTCAATCCGAGGTCGGGGATGGGATGAGGCCTGCTGATGTCCCGACGTCAATATATCAGAGAGTAGTTTATCCAGTCGGGCATTTTGAATTGTCGCAAAATCTATGGTCGGCGTGATACCGCTCTCGTCTCTCACCAACTCACGAAGAGCTCTCTTGACGACTCCGGCTCTAGGACCTAGCGAAGCATCTTCAACAAGGTGAGAACGGATGTCATCCGACAGTTCCAAGAGCTTTGTCTCATTCAATCGCTTATTCTTGGAGTCAAGCAAGCCAATTGACAATAGGGTGACATATAGATCTAGGCACGATGAGAGAAGTAAAACGAACAAGCCTCCCAATGAAGACATACCTGGTTGCTCAAGTATTTTTTCCTCCAAGTCTGATTCTGAGTCTGAGATTTTTAAAGATTGCCGCGAGTCGGTAGCAAATCGTATAGCTGGAAGGATCCATCTTAACCGCCGAGGCATCTTGGCGGAAATGCGCCTCTAGGCTGATGAACCGTGCTTGGCTTCTAGCCTGAAGCTTCATACAAAATGTCACAGTGGAGATGAAATTTCGACACGAGCGCCCATTATGCGGCGGCCTTGGGGCTTTTTGGTGGTTGTGTCCATATAGAAACAGAGGGATAGAGAGAGAAGGATGAACAATAGTTATATGTATCTTGAATTGTGATTTTATGAGTACTGGTAAGAACGACGGGATGTGAGATGGAAAGCAAAGATGAATTATTGTAGGATCGACATGATGACTAGGTTTAGATGCGTCTTGATTATTGTCCAAGTCGTATTGAAAATAGATGAATAGTAGAAACTCAAGATATGTAGGTGCTAAGTGAGCAGGGCGACTCTTTCTGTGTGAGGCTACCTTGGTAGATACACTTTGATGCGGAGGAAAGTGCTCAACGGAGTACTTGTCATATGACCTAGAGGATGCCAATTAGTCTATTTCATATCCGTAACAAATAATTCCTTTCGAATGATCTAAATTACTACTAATTAATAGGACATGTATTGTAGCTTTTCTCATGGTTTCAACAATGTCATTTCGCAGGCTGGTCGAGTACCATCGTGATCTACACCGCCTACCTCTTTGGCTTCATAGTGAGAATTCATATGCGCTACAGGCCTCACCGCCTACCCAACTCGCTTCAAAGAGTCGTTATTGCCGGTAAAATGCGCCCCACAAGACCCAAATAATCTGGGAATGTTTGGTGAGAATTTCAGATGGTGAGGCTCAACTCAATTGATTCACGCCTCTGTTGCTGCATCTACATTATCATGAGTGACCAAGCGCATTACAATGTGCGCCAGAGTGCGTCTCACTCCAAATCGATAGGCATTACGCAGCGCGCAACGCCGCTACGATTCCCATGGGTGGGCGATTTGCGCGTGAGGTACGCGCTTCTTCAAAATCCCCAAGATAAGAGAGTAGGGTCAATGGTTTTACTAACGTTTTTATAGATTCTCGGATTTCCAAGTCAATGAGATTGGGAAAGACGGAGTTGTTGTGCATTTGCACAAGATTGGGTTGAACGGTCAAGATAAGCAGGTAAATGATCTCTGCAAGATTGCTATAGATGGAGCTGACCGATTGCGCAGACAACAGATGCTGCCCCAGGGCAAGAAGTCAATACACCCAAGGAGCAGCAAGAACCCGCCAGCAATGCTGATACCAACGATGCCAACGACACGCCTCAAGAAAAAGAGATCATTGAAATTCCAGCAGACGATGTGACTGCTCTCAGCAACCTAACCGGTGAAAAGTTTGCGCAAGAGCTCGTCCAGCTGTTCCGGGACAGCCAGGTGGAAGCTTCAGAAAAGAAGAAGCCAGTCGTCTCCGAGCCTGTGGATGACAGGTCCAAAAGAGGCGAAATTCACCAGGAAATCCGACGGGTTTTCAACTCCAGGATAGAAACCAGCACGGACGATGCTGGTGCCATCATTGCAAGCTTTTCGGCACCCACACGGCGAGGCAAAAGAGGCCGAGGTGGACGCAATCGCAACCGAAACAAGCAAGACGACCAGCCGATTGGCGAGTATCTTCACTTTACGCTCTTCAAAGATAATCGCGACACCATGGACGCCGTCAACCAGATTGCCCGTATTCTCAAGGTGAAGCCCCAGGTAATCAATTATGCAGGCACCAAGGACCGACGTGCTTCTACAGTCCAACGCTGCTCTGTCCGATACACTCGGGATAGAAGCCTCGCGGGTATCAACGGAAAGCTCTGGGGAATAACAACAGGCGACTACGAGTACAAGTCGGAACCTATCCATCTAGGAGAGTTGCTAGGAAATGAGTTTGCCATTACTATCAAAAACTGTCAAATCGTCGGCGAGGCCAGCGCCAACCCAATTTCCGAGCAAGTCGATTTGATGCGTGCCAATGTCCAGTCTGCATTGGACCATATGACGGAGCACGGGTGGATTAACTATTTTGGCCACCAGAGATTTGGCACCCACCAGATTGGAACCCATGAAGTTGGAAAGCTGATTCTGGGAGATAATTATGAGGGTGCAATCAATGCTATCCTTGCCTATGACGAAGAGATTGCCCAAAAGGCAGAAACAGAGGGAATCCCCGACGAGCCAGCCAAGAGGGACGAATACAGTCGCCACCTTGCCTGCATGCTGTTCAAGACCGAAAAGGACGTCGAAAAGGCCATTGAGATTATGCCCAGGCGGTTCTCAGCCGAAGTATGCGTTCTTCGACACCTGAACAGACAAGGCAAGCAGTCCAGAAGAGACTTTGTCGGCGCCCTCATCCACATCACCCGAGGGTTGCGATCAATGTACCTCCACGCATGCCAGTCCCACGTGTGGAACCACGCCGCGAGCAGGCGATGGGAGCTCCACGGCGAAAAAGTCATCAAGGGAGACCTCGTCATCATTGAGACCGAGGCCGCCCCCCAGGTCAGCGGCCAGGACCAGGACGGCGACGACATCATCAACCCAATCGAGTACAACGACGACGACGACGTCCCCCTGCGCGCCAGACCCCTGACCGAGGAAGAGGCGTCCAGCGGCAAGTACACGGTGCACGACATCGTCCTCCCCACGCCGGGCTACGACGTCATCTACCCGGACAACGAGATTGGCGAGTTCTACAAGGACTTCATGGGCCGCGAGGAGAACGGCGCGCTGGACCCGCACAAGATGCGCCGCATGCGCCGCGAGTTCAGCTTGCCGGGACGGTACCGCAAGCTCATGAACAGGTTCCTCGCCAAGCCCGCCGTCGAGTTCAAGACGTACGCGAGCGACGAGGAGCAGATGCACCCTACCGACCTGGACATCATCAGAGCCGCACGCAAAGCCGGCGGTGGCAACAAGCGCTCTCGCGAAGAAGGCGACGAAGCAAGACCGAGCAAAGTAGCCAAAGTGGAAGGCGAAGACCAAGCTTCCAACGAAGCCACTCAGGGCGAGGAGGCTTCCAACGATGCTGCAACTGGCAACGACAAGGCTGAAGAAGCTCCCAAGGCAGAAGAAGCCATGGAAGTGGACCAGCCGCTCAAAATCGCCGCAGTCATCAAGTTCCAGCTCGGCAGAAGCGCCTACGCCACCGTCACGCTCCGAGAACTCATGGGAGACCCCCCTGAGACCAACGCAGCCTAATGGGAAACACCCACCTCCTTATGCATAGAAATATTGTGCTCTGCTGTTACAAGGGATACCTCTTTTTTTTGTGGCATATTTCATCTTTTTTTTTTCTTGTTCTGCTTTCTGCTATAGTTTGGATAACTAAAACGATCCCGTGTATATAAACGCCATGTTGACAAGAATGAAGATGATGTAAAAAAAAAGACAACACAAAAATCGCTATGTGCAAGCGCCTGATATTCAAGTTTATGTTGAGAGGTGCCAATTTGACAGCTCCACAGTGTAGCATGAACAACCCCCTTGTCGTTGTTCTCCTCCTCTTCTTCCTGTTGCTGAAAATGCCTTCATGCTCGCTTTCTGACCTATACAAAATCCACCGCAGCAGGCCCGGATTCCTCTCCATGAGTGGGGTAAAACTCGCCCATGATCCAATACTCTCACATGCCCAATTATTTTTTTCCTATTTATGGCGCCCTCGCGCCCTTGTGATCTGCGTTATACGACGAGGCCAGCCAGCTGGTCCAGCCGTAAATGAGGTGCAATAACCGTTTCCAAAGTGTTGTGTCATGTCAGGAGCCTTATCGAGAACCGCCGACCTGCTTCTCGTCCCAACCCCACACAAACGAGAGGTATTTCACCATGTTGACCCTCTTGGATCGCATCTCGACCATCCACGGGTGTTCTAGCATTTTCCAGGGGCTGGCTCTGCGGTTAGGCTGCTTCTCCAAACTACAAGAAACGGAAAGTTAGCCACAAGTCTCAAAACATAGCGATATAAGAGTAACATACCAGCACTCAATAAAGTATTTAAAGTTGTCGCTCCAGTACACGTCGTTGTCGGGCTCGTCTTTGAGCTTCGGGACGGGTTGCCTCACAATGTACGTGAGCAGATCGATCAGACCCGCACGAGGCTGCATCTCTGTCCCATCTGCAGGGAAGGGAAACCTGTGCTGAGCGACTTCGAGCAACGTGACTCCTGTCGACCACACGTCTGAAGTGATGGTGTATGACTGACCAGTAATCCGCTCTGGAGCCATGTAGTAGCTTGTTCCGATAAAGGTGTTGGCTTCACCTTTGGTTCCGAAATCTCCAGATACACCGAAATCACACAGCTTGACTGAACCGTCACGGCAAAGCAAGATATTGGAGGGCTTGATGTCTCGGTGAATGATCCTTCGCGTGTGGAGGTAGGTAAGGCCGCCCAAAACACCTTCGGCGATCTTCCCCAGTACCTTTTCACCGGTACGGCCTCCTAGCCTCTTCACCTCTTTGTAAATGCTGTCTAATGAGCCTCCCTCGCAAAACTCCATGGCGATGGAAATGGTGGCCGTGGAGGGATCAACGAATGCTCCGTAGTAACGACAGATGTGGTCAGAAGCACATTCCTTGTTGAAACCCAATTCTCGCACGATTTGCTTCTTGACATCAGGATCAGGATTGGTAGTGATGACCTAGATGTAGCATTAGCATTGCCATCAGCATGGTGGTTATACTCGGCAAATCATTTACCTTGAGGGCAAAGATAGTCTTGCCGCCTTTAAGCATAGCTTTGGTGACCGCTCCTCCTGCACCTTCGCCGAGGTTGCCCAACTCCACGATTCGCTTTTCCAAGCTAGCAATTCTCCATCCTTCGTCGTCCAAATCCTCGACATCCGCATTCCTTGCTTTCTCAATGCTGAGTCGGTCAAATCCCTCCAGGCCCTGCAGGCTCCCATCTCGCTCCATGGAGACGCCTCCTTCGCTTCTCATTGAGCCGACGGCAGATACAGGATCCGGGGTTCCTTGGGGTCGCGTGACAGGGATGCCAAACTGGGAGGCGAATGAAAGAGCCGAAAACTGAGAGCCCGCAGACGTGGGGTTGCTTGCCCGGCCGTCAAGAGGGCCGAAGCTACCAGACCTTGAATGCGCCGCACTGCTCTCGCTGCCACCGCCAGCAGACTGTCCGGGCTGTATTCCCTGCTGCCTCGCAGGTTGTTCATATGGTGTGACCTGGCTCCCCATGGGGGTGGCCAGGTGTAGAGTCGGTAGGGGGGGCCTGGCGGGCGGCTGGATCGTCAGGTTGCCCACGGGCTTGGCATTTGGTGATGGAGGAATGGCCAGGCCCAATCTGGGAGCAGCACGGCCCCGGTTGCCGGGAATGGCAGGACGGAGAAGAGGTGCGGGAGAGTTCATGATCGGTACAGACATCGGAGTTGATGCAGGAGTTGAGAGGGAGGAGGAGGAGGAAACGGGATGCTGCAGCGGAGCAGGTCGGTTAGTTTGTGTGTGCCCAGGAGACGGAGAGTGCATGAAACTCACGAGCTGGGCGGCGGGGTCGGTGCCCTGGGATTGCGAAGGGGCTGCGTCAGCCATAGTGAGTACCAAGTCCCAGTCAAGGCAATGTGTCGCGATCTATCCAAACGAGCGAATTGCTGATGGTGCTGAGATGGCAGGGGACCTTTGCGAGGCTGAAGATCGGAGCGGCACTCAAAAAAAAAAAAAAAAATAAGAAAAAAAACACTCCCAACGGTCAAGCAGGTACAGAGTACAAATGACCACGGCAGGAAAAAAAAAAGACGAAGAAAGAGGGAGCGTCCCAGCAGCGGTCGGACAAGAGCAGCGCTAAATAGACGACAGGGAGAGGGCGAGAGGGCGCTCAAATAGAGGGACGCTGATGCTAGAAAATTCAAATCTCGGCAGACGACTTGCTATGCGTTGGCAAGTACTATCTCAAATCGCAAGAGGCGAATGCTCGCATGCACAGTTCTATTGGTGCCAGCGTGGGTCGAAGGCGAGTGAGGGGACGCTTGGGAGGGGATAGTCGGCTTAAGCGTCTGTTGCAGGACCAAAAAAGGCAGCGCCAGAAGATGCACAAAGGCAAAGAAGAAGAATAGAGAAGAAAAAACAACTGCAAGAGACAAACGAGGGATGCAGACGATGGCTGAAAGTTGGCTGAAGGTGAAGCTTATGGCCAGCTCGGGGTCTAGTAGATTTTTTATTGTGTAGGGGAGAAGTCGGGCTACATGTACGTGGACGAGATGCAGAGGGACTCGAGTGTGGGTTGCTCCGTAGGAGTACAGCTCCTGGGATTGTGGACGTCGGCAACGCAAGTACCTACATGTACCTACCTGAAGCGGCATATGCGCGCCAGCGGAGTCAGTGGCATTGTGCATGGCGCATAGTGGTGACGGGCCCCTGTAGCAGCCAGCGGCAGAGGCTCTGGTACAGGGCGGGTACCGCTGTGGTCGATGGGGCGGATCAATGCCCGCCAACATGGAACGTCGAAGCACCGGAGAGGTACATACCTGACGATCCAATGTTGGGTAGCACTTGGGAGGCGCTGCAAGGAAGCACCGCTGGGGGCGCTGTGGGGAGAGCTCCAGGGCACTGTAGGGCTCCCAAAGGCCCCCAAGAGCTCTCGTGCTCAGCCAAGCAAGCGGCGCTAACGTCTGGCGTCAGTGGAGATGAGGGATGGGTGGAGCTGGGCAGCCGGTTTCCGCGGCTGCTGCTGAGACTTGCTGGTGGTGAAACGACGTCTCGGGACGTGGAGATGAGCTGGGAGCAGCAGATGGGCAAATCAGCGCGCAAGGAACACGGAAGCAATTACGGGTGCTACAGGTATGTAGGATCATGCGTCTCTGGCCCAGTAATGTCTGGAGGACCTGTACATTGACTGTAGTCGAGCAGTTGAGCATGTAGGTACTCGTGTCTGGATGCGGAGATACGGCACGGCTGAGGCCTATCAGCGTCGTCAACAATGGTCCAGGGGCATCGGAAGGAAAATTGCAGCGCAACGCATCAAATCAAAGCACGGAAGCGAGGACTCGTACTTGGAACAAAGTCCCAACGTATCAATGGACATGTACATGTGTCGACATGTTCTCCCATCGTCGACCCTTGGGATGGGGCAGACGAGCCGGCAGCACTAGCCAGGGTCGTTGGGCGCGGCGCAGTATCAAGCTCATCCCAAGCATCAAGTCTCTTGTTAGCTTACCCTACAACACCATGTCATGTGTCTGGGCATCGCTCATTTGGAGTTCTTTTGCGCCCCTGAGCCGTCCATCGTCTGCAGCACAGGTCAGCCGTGGTGAGACTGATGGCAAATTGCGTCCGGCAAAAGGGCCGCTGATCTCGAGCCAGGGCAAAGAGACGCAGTTTTTGGTGTGTCGGGCGCTGACTTGTCCGCGCAGCTGAGCCGCGGCGATACAACAAGGATTCGAATCAAACATGAGCAGCAGCCCTGCTGGAAAAGTCCCGAACTCGTCAACACGTGGAATGTAAGACCAGTGGCCACCACCTTTTGAATTGGCCGCCCACCCTGCAGCTAGAAGGACGATGAGTGGGTTGGCTGGCCACCCCATCCATTCGATATTGCAGTTGTTCTGGGCCCCCAAAGTGCCCCAAAATCCCATCCCATCAATGCTAAGCATTGTTGTCTGACACACTGCATCAAAGCCGGGCCAATGAAGATGCAGGGCCCTGTCCCAGAAAACCATCACAGGTTCGGCGAGTCCAGGTGGGCGGGCAAACAGCGTTGCAGCCAAGCTTTTCAACAGCGCAGTCAACCTTGGGATACCACCGACGTGCAGCTCGCATCTCGCGTCGTACCCAGACCTTGTGCAGTTAAGATTCGAGGGCTGCTAAAATAAACCACTGCGCGGCTCGTATTGGCCCAGAAGCCAGATGATGGTCACAGGTGCTCGACTGATGCGGTTTCAAGTGCGGCGCAGCTTGCAGACTGGCTGACATCGAGCCAATGAGCGTCGCCGCGCCTTTAGCCTTGCGTTTCTCCAAGCGCGCGTCTACGCGCCCAGCCTCGGCCTGTGGTTGGTTCATCCGTTGACGGGCAACCAAGGACAAGCGGAAGCGGGTGGATCTCGCTTTGCTAGCGATGTGTATCTGTTTCAAAAATAGATTCATGAGGCTCCGACGGCTACAGAGTAGTACTGCGATGTCTTTAATTCTCCATATAGAACATTGAACGCGGCTCTGGGATGGATACTTTGAAGTTGATCCCTAATGCGCTGCTACCAAACAGGGAAAGCGGTGAGCCGTCAACCCCACTCGGCCACGCTGCCCCACATGTCCAATGGCCAAACTCCAACTTTTTTTTCTAGGTACCGCTGAGTAGATCGCCAAATTTTTTTGCATCAGAACACTGGGAGTGCGTCCACAAATTGCACAACTCCAAGCCCCCCAGCATGCCTTCCAAAGGCGTCACGCACAAGGACCGTCCTTCGGATCCGGAGCTCTCTTCCAATGCGGGAACATCCTCCGATGAGTCCGATTACCTCGACAGTGCTGCTGCCCGCAAACGGCGCCGCACCTCTCCCGAGCTTCAAGTTGGAGCCGATGAGAGCGATGACGACGAAGAAGAAGATGGCGGCAGAACCCCACAGCTGCCAATGGTTTCTATAGCGGTGCCGTCTCGAGTCAAGCGAAGCGTTGAAAAGAAGGAACAAGTCAAGCCTGCTACCAAAGCCGCTGCCGTATCGCAAACGCAGCCGCAGTCGCAAAATCCCATTCTTGCACCGACCGACCCCAATACCACGTTTTCTGCCCTCAATGTGCGGCCGTGGCTTATACAGTCGCTTGGGAACATGGCCATCAGACGACCAACCGGTATTCAGAAGGGCTGCATACCGGAGATATTAAAGGGAAGAGATTGCATCGGTGGCAGCAGAACGGGATCGGGAAAAACAGTTGCTTTCGCTGTTCCCGTTCTCCAGAAGTGGGCAGAGGACCCAACCGCCATCTTTGCCGTCGTTCTCACACCAACTCGCGAGCTTGCTCTTCAGATTTATGAGCAGTTCAAGGCAATTTCATCGCCGCAGAGCCTCAAGATGATTCTCGTGACTGGTGGTGCCGACATGCGATCCCAAGCTATTGCGCTGGCTCAACGGCCACACGTCATCATTGCAACCCCTGGACGTCTGGCGGATCATATCAGAACATCTGGAGAGGACACGATCTGCGGACTACGGAGAGTGCGTTATGTGGTCCTCGACGAAGCTGATCGTCTTCTACATGCCGCTGGCCGCGGCAGTATGCTGCCCGATGTCGAGGAGTGCTTGTCTGTACTACCTCCTGCTTCTGAAAGACAGACTCTTCTCTTCACAGCCACCATCACTCCAGAGGTGCGAGCGCTCAAAGATCTTCCACAGAGACCTGGAAAGCTACCCGTGTTTGTCTGCGAGGTGGACACACAGATGCTTGCCATCCCGGCAACTCTAAGTCAGAAGCACGTGCAGATCCCCATCACTCACAAGGAGCACTACCTCCACGTCTTCCTTCTCACCGAGGCCAATGTCAACAAGACGGTCATCATCTTTTGCAACCGTACATCAACGGCCGAGTACCTTCATCACCTGCTGCGATTACTAGACCACCGAGTCACCTCTCTGCACTCCAAGCTTCCCCAGAGACAGCGAACGGATAACCTGGCGCGCTTCCGCGCATCGGCGGCCAGGATCTTGGTGGCCACGGATGTGGCGGCCCGTGGTCTCGACATCCAAGAAGTTAGCCTGGTAATCAACTATGATATCCCTCGGGACCCGGATGACTACATTCATCGGGTGGGACGTACCGCCCGTGCGGGCCGCAAAGGTGAGGCCGTGACGCTTGTGGGCCAGCGAGATGTGGAATTGGTCTTGGCCATCGAAGAGCGAGTGGGCAGGCAGATGGAGGCTTGGGAAGAGGAGGGCGTCAACCTGGAGACGAGGGTGATCCGAGACGCCCTGAAGGTGGTCGGCGAGAAGAAGCGGGAGGCGTTGCTGGAGATGGAGGAGGGCAGGGAAGTCGGCGGCAAGAGGAAAAGGACGAAGCAGAAACTTCAGGCGTAGGCGTGGGCGTAGTCTCACCATTACAAGAGCAGAGCAGCATCATCATCAATTTCCAAGCGGCCTCTTTCTTTCATCTTCCCCAATAGTTCGTGTCATTATCGCGTGGGTCTCTTCTTGCCATTATTGCTCCTGCAAGGTACACTTGTTGTTATTACTACTTGATATTGACCTTGATTTCTTTAGGGGGGCTCACGGGCCATACGCTTCCCGTTCGCTTGGAAGTGGGGGTGTGCGAGAGAAGCATCGCCCGCAAGCTGGACCACGTTTCGCGATACCACTCTGTTGGTATCCAGTAATACCATGGTCTGGCAACCCGTCGATCAGGGGACACATGTCAGCAACAGGGCTGGCATACGAGTACAGAACGGAAACCCTGGGCATGAGTTTGCGCGTCGGCAACAGCGCGCAATAACATCCCCAAGCAAGGCCACCAGTCGGTAAGCAGTGTGTCCACGATGCATTCAGATCCCGGTTCCAGACTGCTGGGTAAGCCGTCCTTACCCAATGCGGTAACCATAGGGAGATGATGATCAGGGGGGAAGGGTGGAAGCTTCCCGGGCTTTGACAAGTTACCGGGCGGCCCATTGCGCTGGGACGGGAGCCAAAAATACGGCCAGGGGAGGTTTGTTGGAATTGAGGGGAGAGGAGGGCCCCATCTTACGCCGCATCGGAGTGCCTGATTTGTTGGTCTCTCCCCCAGCTTACGAGGCACGGCACGGACTGCGGAGTGCGCAAAGGTTATGTGATACTCGTATGGAGGGTAGCGAGAGATGAGGGAGTGTTCTGCCCTATGGGCAGGGGGGCCATGCTTGAGTGGGTTAAAATGCGGATGACGGCCGTCTTCAAAGGTTCCCAGGTGATTCCCAAAGGCTGTCACACACACACACACACACACACAACTTCATGACCTACAGGGGGGGATACTATCACATCACACTCAAGTATACGAGTAGCTTCTGGGGGAAAGGGGCATAATGCCTGTCTGTGTCTCCTTCAATGAGCAGGGCTGTCGGGCTTCTCTTTCGACTCGCAAGGGGGAGGGGTTGCGTGCCAAGACCTGCGTGCCCCTTTGCTTTCCAATCAGCTTTGGGACCGGTGGGATGGACGACCTTGCCGATCTCATTACCAGAGCAGCGGGATAGACGATGCCTGATTTGATTCGATTTGCGTTTGGGGGGTGTTCCCCCTTTCTGCATACTCATTTGCACTTCGCTCTACCCTACGCGCGCGGGATGGATGCCGTCAAAGTACTTACTCGTAGACGCGGTAATTGGACTGGTATCGAGCTTAGACTTTGCGAGCACATAGCTTGATATGGCAAGAGACAGTAGCCACGAGGTGGAAACATGTATTACTGAATAGACAAGACATTCATCAAATCATTTACCTTCCTGCCTGTGACATGGCCGAGTGCCGGTTCTCGGCGCGGCGGCTGAGTTGACCGAAGCCAGATGATCGAATCACCAAGACAACTAGCTGGACTGACATCCTCAGTCCCCAAACGACGGAGCCCGCGGGCAATGTAAACCATGTCATTTACAACAACGAGGGCACATTCTTTTTAGGTCAAGGGGTGCGATGAAAGGAAAGCCGAGGAACCATGTTCTTATGATTGGAGCCAAGTTGACTCATCGCGCGAATAACTGAACGTTGCTCCATACGTTACGGATGGCGCGATCCGAGGTAGAGGGAATTTTATCCAAAAGGGCAGCGTCCAACGATTCCGTTTTCTAAGTAAGCGCAATTATCTCTTTTTCGAGAAATCAATGGCTACCCATTCGGTTGGTTGTCTGCCGGCGATTGCTACCAGGTTCATGGCCTTGTGGATAGGTATGGAGTATGTTATACCTAGTAGTATTACTCGTATTTACTCCTGATTTACACGTACTCTGCGATCCCGGCGGGCCGCCTCAAACGTAGTGGACCACAGGGTAGCTACTCTTGCTATTTCCAGGTTCTGTATGGAGTCTGCTTGGTGTCTGCCGCAAGAAAAGAGGGACAATATCCGGGAATATCTCTCGGATATGCACTCACTCACTCACTGTACCTATGCTGCATGCCGGGTAGAGAGATTACGTTGACACATCTCTGCTTACGGCGATACAGGCTCGTGCAAGGAAGAAAACCAAACCGGTTCACGAAATAACGCCGATTTCCCATGGAGACACGGAGGCGGACGCCCGCAAGCGCAAGGCTCGAACCCGACCAGGGGGGGCCCGGAAGCAAGACTGCCTATTGGAGAGCCTCGCCTGGCAGCAGCGAAAAGAGTCCATGTCCGCGGCAACGGAGTCTGCCAAACCACCGGAGAGCGAAAGTCACGAGTTTTCCTGCGGTGTGTACGCGAGAAAAAAGATCTTCGAAAGCGGCATGGTCGGGATATGCATGGAAGCATGGAAGAAGGACGCCCGAGGGGCTTCCACGGATCTCGATCACGGGAAGAAGGCCACAAGAACAAAAAGAAGCGGACCGCTTCTGCATGCCGGCATCTGCACTTTGACGTGACGGACGAAACAGGAGAATGCGGCAGTTCTCGTGCGTTGCTTCGTTCCGGAAAAGCACCATTCGCCCGGGCGAAGAAGCTGCAGTCGTCATGGCGCCGGCGATTGGCTGCGAAAGCATCGGCTATCGGGTGACTGGGTCTTCTCTGCATGTTCTTTCGTGCTTCCATTTGTTTTTTTTTTCTTGTTCCAGTCGACCCCGGCTAAAGAGCAGAAAAATGACGGCATTTAATGGGGCCCCTGGGAAAACGTGCGTGGTGATAGGGCAATTGGCAATCTTTCGGCATTGTGGCGGACAAAAGGCGGCATCTACCGCCCTGGACCCTTTTTCTTCGCTCTCGCTTCCCTCGCTGCGGAAGGGGATTGCCGCAATCTGTGCCGCAGCGCGTTTTACTGGATAGCAGTACTCGTAAATGTACCATGACGTCGCCGGAATAGGTACCCTGGGCGATGGATTAAACGGCGTGTCAATTGGGCATTACCTCGGATAGGAAAGAAGGATAGGTATATGCGATGATTGATAAGGTACAGCAGGAAATCAATGGAAGTAGCCGTTTTGATTACCTAAATGCCCCGTGATGAGGGAACCCAGCGGCATGGCCACAATTTCGATTCATGAAATCTGGGGTTGAGAGCACGGGGTCTGTGTCACGGGAACGGTGCCTGACTTGAGTCAAACAGACAGCGCTGCGGCACGTGCAGTGCTTAAACGCCAAGAAAGCGTCCGCAAACTCAACCCAGCGATTGATGATGATCAGGTAAGAGATGATGGCAGCGGAAGTATCCATCACGGACTTGTGGATTCCCGCGCCATGTGCCCCGGTGGAACTTTGCTTTGCTCGGACCCAGACGGACGGGAGTTGATGGGGGGGTGAGTTAAAGTTGGTGCCATGCCGGAAACGGCGATTTGAAATGCTCTGCTGACAGAAGCCATTAATCATCCTCAATCTCGCAAGCCCCGAAGGCCCGGCTCTTTGTTGTCTTATCGACCCTGGAGCGACGGAGCCCGCTTTGGGGATAGCGGCACATGTTTCGCGATGGCATCCTTCGCCCGCTGGTTCGTGCCTGGGCTGAAACACGGCTGTACTGTAGATGACACTACGAGTACAGGAATTGCAGGGAGAGAGATCTTACAGCGAAATTGGATGGAGAAGGCCTGTGCCTGTGCTGACGAGGAACCCGTATCGCATCGTTTGCGGCCTGCAGGGCTGAGGGGGAGTGTCTCGGCGTCCAATGTTGAATCAAACAAAAAGGCAAGGGAAAAAGAATGTGGGCTAAAAATAATCGGCCATCCGTAGATACGGCTGGATTGCCGTCAGGGTAGCCGTTATGGTTGCCGTCATGGCAGCCCGTTCGAAATGGCTGACGAGCTTAATACTAAGAAAGCCGTGAGCGAAAGCGAGCTGGGCGAGCGGACGATAATCGAGCCGCCCGTGGCTGCGGCGTGCCGTTGCTACGGAATTCCGCAGTGGAATGGCTGGCTGATGATGATGGCCAACCACGTCCCGATGCGGCAGCAACTGAGCGCCAGGAGATGCTTGTGTGCTTCGGGGCTAGGCAGGCAATCGCATCGCATCGTATCGCTCGCTGTTTTTGCTGCTGCGTGGGGTTCTGCTGTGAGCAAAAGCCACATCTCCGAAAAGCCCAACTCGGCATTCGGGCGCGAGCGATGCGCGTATATCCTCGGGCTCTGTCAGCAACACAGACACCGTCTGCGTCTGCACCCGTGATTGGCCGCATCAGCAGCCCATCGATGGACGGGCGGACCAAAGAGTGCCGGACAAAACACAAAATCTTGCCGCTTCCCGGTTCCGCAGCGCATCATTGGCTCGATGGCCGCGTACGAAGGACGTACCAGCCAGCGCATCCCTTCATCCCTGCGCCACGTCTGCAAGCCCCCTTTTCCCTGAGATCGTGGGTTTTGGGCCTTATCATCAGCCTTGAACGTGCTGATGGGATGCGATGGGGATCGCCCAGGGCTTGCAGTTGCTTTTTGATTGACGTGGTCTGTGCCGCCCGCCCCTCCCATTAAGGATTTGGATTGATTTTGGGTACGTACTGGTGCCTTGCCGAGGGCCGCAATACCCACCGTCGGAGTCGTCAAAAATGGGCCTCGTCGACTCAGCCCTACTCAACTTGCTACCCTCGCTACAGTACCGGCTTCAAACAGCGGGCAGGACAAACAAACAGAATATCGACACCCCTGGCACCAAATCTCAGTTCCAATTCCCAATTGCTGGGTCTGATTGGTGATTGGGAGTGGCCGGGCTGAGATTTGGGGTCAATCCACGGCGATGCCTGCGACATGGCTTGCATGCATTGGAAGACTCATACATGTATGCACGAATGCGGACATAAGGTAGGCTGGGACATAGGACATAGGCAGCTCTGCACAGGTGATTTACGGCCGATGAGACTCGTCTCGGAGGTCCGTCGCTCTCGTTCTCCACGTCCCGTCCCCGACCACCGATCAGCCGGGCTAAATACACGCCTGTAGTTGTCTCGACGTTGACAGCGACAGTTTTTGTTTGAGACGGCTCGGCAAACGGAACGGCTGCGGGCACTCAGTATTACTGTCCTGCTCCGTACCATGTTACAGTCCAGGCATGCCATCCTGCTACCTAGCATGCACGAGAAATGAACGGCGAGCATCGCTGTTGCTAGTAGAAGCAGGGAGACGCAAGCGCAACGCGGCGCCTGTGCTAATCCAAGCGGATGCGAGCAATACGTTGTGCCGTGTGCGAGTAAAAAAAGAAAAAAGGTGTCAGTCCAAAACGACCGTTTAGGGCTGTGCTAGACGCTGTCGCGGCCTGCTTGGCAAGATTCGTATCGTATACGCATACGACGCACGACGCATAATTGTTGGGCACTGCTATTAGGGATTCGCACTAATGCTGTTTGTCATGCGAGAGCGAGAAAAAGAAAAGAAAACCGAGAGACACGCAAAAGATTGAAATTGCCGAATAGGATATCCGCGGGCACCGCATTGGGACTGATTGTGCGCAAAAGGATGTGAAACCTGGGGTCACGCTGACTGTCAAGCCCCCCCAGGCTGCGACAAAAAAGGCCAGATCACGGGCTGAGATTGAGCTGCGTTTGATTGCGATTGAATTACGGATGCCAAATGCGTGTCCCTGAGCAAAGCCTCGTGCACGGCCGCATGTACGAGTATGTGCGCACAGCGCAGCAATCAGTCTCAGCCCTTTTGCAGCTTCGTAGCTTCGCACGTACGCGTACCTGGCCCCCGTCAACAGCGATAGCAACAAGAATTGCTCGAATCGGCAATGCGCTCCTTGGGCCTTGTCGCGATGGCTTCCTTTCGTATTGGATTGCCTAAAGCAGCAAAACCATCCCAGCTTCATGACAAATGGGGGAGTGTGCGATTGCGATGAGATGTTCGCTCACGAGTTGGGCGGCCCTAGTTCCCATAGTAAGGAATCGGCAAGCATAAACGGTATCCAAAGCAATTGGCAAGGGGAGTGAACGCAGCGAGCATTTGATTTGATTACACGTTAGCGCAAAGTCTGATCTGTTGGTGACTGTGCCGCACATCTACGGATAACGAGCATTACTACGCAGTGACGGCGGTGCTGAGAAATAGACAAACGGAGCAATTAGGCCTCGGACAACGGTCGGGTGCTGGTGTCGGACATTGCAGCTCAGCGTCAGGGTTACCCGTAAGTTGTTAATCAGCGGCCCTTGAGCTTGAGGGAGAGAAGAGCAGCGGGGCTGCCTGTGATTCATAATCCACAGCGCCGGCTGGCGCTCACGGGCGAATCAGCGGTGTCGAGCGCGCTGTCGAGCCAATCGTGATCAGTAATGGGCGAGGGCAGCCAAAGGGAAGCTTCCAGCTAAAGTGGCATCTTCCGCTGCTAACCAAGCAATTTGGAAGGGAAAAATTCTCTGACGGGCTGTGACTAATCGGCTATGCGAGTGCGAATGCCTACTGCGGCATAGCGCGGGAATCCTCATTGCAAAGCAACGACGCTGGCGTAGGAGTCACGCAAAATGCCGAAGCCGTCCGTGGCGGACGCCATGGTTTTGCTCGCACCAAAGCCTCGGGCGGCCGTGTAGCTCTGGGACGCGAGGTACCTGGGCGCGGGGCGCAGGCGCAGCCAGGCGTCGGGTACTGTTCGCGGATGATTGACTCGCTGCTACGTCCGTACCGGAGACGCTGGGCTTTCGGATTTAGTCAGCGCCAAAACCCATGGCGTTGCTCACCCACCCCTCACCCCCCCTTGCATGCACGCCTTTTTTTTCTTGTGCTGAATGATCATGACTGTCTCACCCCTCCCCCCTCGCATTCATCGTGCTGCTTTTCGGGCCCGCGACCCAAAGTCCGCTTTTACCGGGCTACAAGGGCGTGCCGAGTACGTACCTCGATGCCGAATGGATTTTTTGCTGGGACCCGGTTGGGAGGCTCCGAGTTAAAAGAATGCCGACTCCCCCGACCTTGAGCCTCGATATCATTCAGCACAACAATCAAGCGAGCATTACAACAACAAGAACAAACAATCATCACCTCGAACAACAAACAGTCTATTCATCCATCCAGTGCTCGCATCGATACACAACAGCGGTACACTAGTCAACTAGGCATCTCAACTCCATCCCTGCAACCAAATCTGGCTGCCTTGAGTCACACCTACACTATATATCCATCTTCCTCCCCACCACACAACAAAATGTCTGCCTCAGCATCACTCCTCCGACAAGCTACCAAGAAGAGCATGTCTATCACTCAGACCTACTACCTGGCCCACAAGGCCCGAGCAAAGCTCTCTCGCGAGGCTGCTCAACCCGATCACGATCTCCGTCTCCTCGTCGGACACGCCAACCTCCTCGACTCCCTGATGCTTGAGCTCGCCGAGGCCGAGCGGGAACAGGAGCGGTGGTTCAACCAGTCCGTCCGCAACACCAAGACCTCCGGATCCAACAGCAGCCGCCACATCCAGTGGGCCGACCGAATCGAGGAGGAGGCCGTCGACGAAGAGTACGACTCCGACTCCTCTTCCGATTCTGACGACGAGTCCGACTACGACGAGATGGAGACCATCAACACCCGAACCGCCATCCTCCCCACAACCACCACTGTCAAGGTTGTCGAGGACGAGATCATGGGTGACGACGATCTCGAGGAGGACTACGCTCAGCTCGAGCTCGTCCGCACTCCCTCACACTCAAACTCCCCTCCGGAGCTCATCGACCACGACTCCGAGTCTTCAGATGACGAGGCCATGCCCCCATCACCAGCCGATGCCGAGCTGCCTCTCCCCGCCAAGGAAGAGAGCGAAGAATCATATTACACAGAAGAGGATTTCTACCTGGGCCAGCGAACACCCGCGGGCCTGGTGTCGGCAATCTCAGTCTACTGATCGACACCACCCGATCTTTCTTCTTGTACTACTATGTAATTTGATTCTTTCAAGCATTAGCGATGGCATGGGCTTTGGCAAGGCGTTTCTGATTTCTTCATCATGATACCCCAAGAGGGAATATAAAAAGGCACAACGGCGTTTCTTCACTTATACTTTCATTTGTTCAACTACCACTATACACCATTAGAGATCACAGCTCAACGTCTTATTTCATACAATGTCATGGCAATGCGTTTTCTTTTTTTTTTTTTTTTCATCATGAGGAGTGACGAGCGAGGTGCATGGATTCACTGGTGGGCCGCTCCCTGGAACTGGTCTTCCTTTGGTCGAGTGGACCACGAGTTAGTAGCAATACAATACAATGGGAACAAATCGAATAGCGATTTCCCAATTACAGAATACAAAAAACTGTTACAAACTCATCTACATTTGTCTCTCACTTCTCTGCAATCCTGTGACTCAACTCAAAGAACCCCGAACCGAGCCGAACTGACTTGAACCCTGATTGACAGAACATTTGACAAGTCCGAAAGCCCGCGGCAATGGCGGATGGGCCGAGCGACACTAACAAGGACGCCGCTCGGACGACGCGGCATCGGTGGGAGTGGCAGCCGATAAGCAGCAGCCCAGAGACGAGACTGCAAGGGCTGCGATACGTACCGGAGATGCATTTCAAATCCCAGGTCAGATGGCCCGAGGAGTTAACGGTACGTACATTTGCGCGCTACTGACACATGCCGGCCCAGCTTTTTGCTTTTTGCTTACCGCCAGCCTTAATAATTCAAGAGTAACAGAATTCGAATCCAACGGAAAGAAAACTAGGTGAGACAGAGCTAGCCAAACAGGATTGAGTGAGGCCCGTAATATCCGCCCGACCCAGCGAAAGAGAAAAAAAGCAACGATGAAAAATTCGATGAAAAAAAAAAAAAAAATGAAAAAACAAGCGTGAAAAAATTACGGCTATAATGGATCTAGTATTACCATACGACGATACGATGGTTACTCTTAATGCTTCGGGCGCTCGGTCCCTTGCCTGGGTCCCGTGGACACTGGAGAAGAGCTGGGACACGATTCAAGTTCCCGACCACGAAGGAAAGGGAAAAAGGAAATTTTTTTGCTTGCAGCGGATTATTAGCCTGCTTGCTTTGTAAAAAGACGGCGACTTTGCGGTTATCCGCTTTGCCTTTTTTTTTTTTCCCTACGGGTCTAGAGCGGGCAAGGGGGTGTGTGATGAAAAGGTAAACAGAGGAAAAAAGAAAGGAAAAAAAAAGTATGGATGAGCTGGCGGTGATGGGGGAGCATGCAAGATGAGCAGAGACAGACAGAAAACCCTTACGAGATGCATTGCCGGCAAGATCTTTGCTTTTTCCCCCCACCACACACACACACACCCCTTGCTTCAAGAATTGGCGGATGAAAAGGCAGCAGCTTGTTGCCTTGTGCCCAGCAAAACTCCATAACGGGAGGGCATGGAGTTACGGTGCCTACATGTAATCCTCGTAACTGCTGGCGATGCATGATTCGTCAGCGGGATGTTTGGATGTTGGGCATAACGGCCCAATGGCACGCAAATTACTGAAACCAGAAAAGGAGGGGGAAAAACTAAGGTAGATGCAAGCCGGAGTGACGGTGTGCGAGTGTGTTTTGCTTGCCGTGATGCTTATGAGATCCGGCACGCGGTACATGCCGAATGGGTTGTTTTCTAAAGTCCGCCCGTCGTTCACCTTTTGTTTGCTTGTTTGCCTCTTCCCCCCCCAGAAGAGCTTGGGCTTTTGTAACATCTCCCTTGCTTTGACCGAAAAAACCTTGGCATGACTAGCAACAAAGAGCGAGCTACCAAGGCATGCCTGGAGGAATAACAAATCACAGCCCGTAATCCCGCTCAACGTGAAAATGTTCCCGTTGTTTTGTAAGCCCCGGCGCACGCTGGCCATTAGTATCAAACCACCCCTTTCACTCGTTATGTTCCCTTTTCTGTTGCCTTCGTTTGCCTTCCCCCCGCAGTGCAGGCCGGCGTGACCAACGCATCAGATAGACAGACATGGGGTGGTATAACGGCGTAATTACGCAAGCCGTATGAGGGACAACGACAAACAGTTAAATCAGAGTATCACTCTATTTCCTTCTTCTCCTACCCCACGTGAAACTCCCCATCTTGGAAGGAGAGAGAGAAACAAAGCCAGATTCCAGGGGGGGCCGAGATTGGATCTGGAGGACGAGAAAAATCGCATCAGCTTATCAGGCCATGCGTTGTGTTGGGCGGGATTGAAACCACACGCCCCCCCTCCTGACCCCCATTTCTGGTGTTGCGATATTTGCCATTTCCGTGAAGCTTTACTCTCTTTCTAGGCGGTTAAACTTGAACCCCTTGCATTTTTTTTGACACTTCCGCTTTTGTTTTTAATTACAGCTCTTGGCTCGTTCGTTAGTCGTGTGCATGTTGGGGTGTCGCCATAATTCCTCTCCTCATCTTAAGATTTGCAAAAAAAAAATAATAAAAAAATGGTACGATTTACTCCGCATTTGCAATCTGCAATCTGGGTCTTTTTATCGTACCTACATTGTCGTACCAAATGTAATGTAAGCAATTCCGCAGCACACACACTCTCATTATCAAATCTCGGCTCGCCTGACGCCCAAGTTCCCGCACCTCACGCGGCTCTCTTTTTTTTAATTTATTTGCCAAGCCAAGACTAAGCACCCTCCGCTCACCAGCTTCTCTCCGCAAGAAATAAGAGCTGACGAGGGAAGCAAAAATAGCGGGTGGCGGCGGCGCGCTTCGCCGAGGGAGAGAAAGATAATAGAGCGTAGCGAGATAGGTTGGCCGTCGAGATAAAGATGCTCTCGAACCTCGTTTTGGCAAGAATACCTAGGTAGAGTCCAAAGTTTAAATAGGGAGGACGACTTAAGCGCCCGCTCCGAGGCAATTTGGTCCTCCTCGGACAACGTCCAGTCTTATTTTCGCGCTTACTGGGCCAATGTTGGTGTTTTTGGCATTTAGGCGCCGCCATTGGCTAAATCGTGCCGTGCTGAGGAGAGCTTTTGGCGGCGCCCAGAGTAATATCTTAGTTGTGCTTCATGTTTGGTTTGGTGTTTTGAGCGCAAATCCGCGCTTGGGAATTTAGCCAAACTACACACAGAGAGAGCCCTACGAGGCGTTTTGAAGGCTTGATGGGAATAAGCACCAAGGCGTTCTTCCCCCAGCCTGTCTCTCTCTCTCTTCAATTTATCCAGCTACACACCCGTTTTTCTTGGGAATGTGCCCACGGAGATCCTTTGTTTCAAGAGCTCTCCCAAGCTGTGAGACGTGAAGCGGAGTCCGGCCATCGGCCATCAGATTATTTCGGTTCCGCTGCGGACCCCGCGCGGATGTTGCCCGTGGACTTTTGGCGGGAACGAACATGTTTGACATGAGGCGGGGCTTCGACCTGCCAGATCTTGTCTGCGCCACATGTCGGTGCTGCTTTAAGCGTGTCAAGCCACATGTCGTGGGGCTGGCGGATTCTTGACTTGCATAACTCGATATATGCAAATACGGGAGTCGCGGTGACGATGACTTGGAAAAAGAAACGTCAACACGTGATATATAGTAAGTCGAATGTATGCTCATGTTAACTGGATATTGTGTAATGATTTATATACATCTATATGAAAAATGACCGTCAATAAATTTGACGCTTCTGTTAGTGCTTCCCTTTCATCTCGTATAAATGCCCACGCAGTGCATGTATCTATCCAAGACTTCCCATGTAGACCCTTGTTTTAGTCCCTCCATCTTCCCCCTTTTATCTCTCTCTATTATTTCTTTCGTTCTCCGTTGTATTATTCTATATCGTGCAGTATTCTCTATTATTTCTCTGGGTAGCCGATTCCGACTTGCATCTTCCGCCTCAGCAGTGGTCGTGTATAAGTCGTCGCTGCCTTATTGCTTCTCCGATGTAATCACGCTTTCGATCCTCTTTTTGAATCTCATCGGTAGCAGAAATAGTGCTGCTCCAATAAACATGCAGCCAGAGAAGATTTGGACATCCAGGTAGACTGGGGAGTGCGATCGTCGGAGTCCTAGGGCCATGGCCTCGGCAACTAAAAAACGTCAGCATCGGAGTTGGTAAACAACCTGGACGCTGTATCCTAGAGATACATGTGCAACATGACATACAAGCTGATGGGACGGCGGAGATCGTCCAGACAATAGATAGTACAGAAGGGAGAAGCTTCATTCCGAATGCATCAGCTAGCATAGGTCCAACCATCTGTATGGCTCTGTGTTAGTTTGGTTCAACTTGTTGCGGGGGAGGAACTAGGCCGAGGACTTACAGCCCAGCATGTGCCAATGGTCGTTCCTCCAATAATGGAAAACGCAAGCAGGATTGAATATGATGTACCGGATGTCCAGAGGCATAGGCACCATATTCCCGCCATGGTTGTTGCCCCTATCACCATGTTTAATCTTCCCACGCGGTCACTAAGATAGCCCACGATGGGTCTGCCAATGGCCATCCCAAGGTTGGCCAACGCTCCCAGGATAGAGCCCTGGTGAGCAGTGAGGCCAATTCGAACGGCATTGTCCGGAAGCGAAAACAAAACACATGTGTATCCAATAATGCTGAGGAACATCCAAGTCGAAATGAGGAGAAGCTCGGACCGTTTGAAGAGGGCAAAATCGAACGCGCGCTGGGTAGGCTGAATGTGCTTATTCCTATCCTTGATTAGGATGATGCAAATGACGTTGACTGCAGCAGTGCAGATGGCCGTGATGCGAAATGCCCAGGCGACGCTAATGTTGGAAATCATGGCTTCCGTGGACAAGCTGTAGATGAGACCTCCAATACCGCTTCCCGCAGCTGCAATTCCGTTTGCAATACCCTTTCTCCGGGAAAACCACTGGGGGATAATGCCAATGGTGCCGATATACAAGAATGAACAGCCCCAGCCAAACAGTAACCCCTGAGATAGAAAGAGGTGCCACGACTGCTTAGCGAAGCTTGCTCCAATCAGAGCACCTGCTTCCATGATGGCACCTACGAGGAGAGGAGGCTTGGTTCCAAATCTTCTGGTGGCGTGCGTGACGAGGGGGGCGATGAGGAGGATCTGAGACTGGGATAGGCCGCCGATGAAGGAGTAGGCGATTTCCGATGTCCCGGGGAAGGCGTTTGTCGAGATGTAGTGAGTGAGGTATACACCGAAAGCCTGCCATAAAGGGGGTTTGTTAGATTCTTTGCTGATGATTTGACGAGATGTCTTGTTTTTGATGCTGTCAATATGGACTTACACCATTGACGCCCCATGTGCTCGCTGTAATCATCAATTGGCACACAACGCATACCCAACCGTATCCACCATCGTGCTCATCACCTCGTAGTGGTTGTTCTTGTACATCGGTGTTTTCGATTGTTTCTTCCGAGATGGGGTTTCCGACTTGATCTACCGTCTCGTCGTCGCTGGAAAAGTTTTGCACAACCGTCATTGTGATTGTAGAAAGGGGGAACGAATTTCAAAGGCGAAAAGAGTGTGCTTTGGGGGTTCGTAACTTAGGATGTGATCGAAATACGAGGATTAAATACTGGACAATCAGGCCCTTGATGTTGCATATATTTATGTATTATCCCTTCTATGTCTTTGTATACATGTATCATGTACGTGTATCATTACGCCTTCCCTTGTACTTGGCAAAAACTAACATCAGCTCATAGGATCGCCCCGGATAGCATCTGTGCCGATCAGGGTTTTACTGCCGAGCAGCTTCCGATCCATCTAAACTCGAAAATTCAAAACATTGACCGCATTCGTTTTCGCATCTCGTCTAACTTGGCTATCGTGAAGGGTTGGCGGATGTATCCACAGCTTCCATTGCATCTCCGGCCAGCTCGCTGAGGATTGCCTATCTGGGACTAGTACATGTATATATCAAAAGCAACAGCTATTTGCCTGCTCTGTGCAGTCTTGGGGCGCTGCGTCGGAGAAAGGGAATGATCAAGGCAAAGTAAATTCACATCTTTTGGTACTGATAGCCTATGGATGAATAGCCTATCTGAGGGCATAATTGAGAGATGAGCCTCCGCTTCGATAGATACCTGATAGAATCCCCTGTTCTTCATTATGTCATCGTGGCACGGCTGCAATCCGGGCCACTTGCGTATTCGTTCTGAGGTAGAATACACCTATGTACGGGAAATGATACGCTGTGCCAAATATCTAAACGACATGTGTTCATGTAGGCACATGCCAACTTATACAATTAAGAATATTACCGCGCCCTTTCATTTCGTCCATCTCGAATACCATTCATTATCAGCTGAGAATTAAGCATGAACAAGCTTGATACATTGTCAGCCTTGGTTCTGAGCTCACATTGTCGTTAGATATTGACTTACATTCTCACTCAAATTGTCGTTTGCCCCTCTCTCCGTGACTTTAACTTCATCTCCTACTCGAAGCAAGGCCCCGTTGGGACCTGCAAAGGACCACTGTCCAAAGACTGGTTTCACTGGACAGACGTGTTAGCCTATCATGGACCTAAAGAGGATAGAGAGAGGTCATACGGGGATATGCCTTGTTTACGCGTCTATCTCTGGCTATTAAGCCATAGACTTGTGTGCTCCTTGGAGATCCATCCCCTGTTCTTATGTTGGCGTTGACACTCAGACAGCGAGGCGTCTTGAAGACACAGCGAACAACGGCTTTTGGCGTAGTTCCGTCTTCCGCAAATACAGTGAGCTCTCTCCAGTTATCTTCGTCCCACGCCGCAACAGACCCCACATCGACGTGGATATTGGTACGGAAGCGAAGCAAGACATCCTCTTGCTGATCAGCTGGCGGCAGCCGAATCCTGACGTCCTCTTCAGATGCCGCTGATGTCACCAGGAAAGGGGCAGCGTCTGCGAATCGGATTCGTTGAGGCTGGAAATGGTCACCGGCAGCCTTGATTGTTAATGGCAGCCGGTGTTTAGGGATGTATGCAGCTCCTGGGATCTCGCGGCTGCCTGATCCGGAGATGAATAGTAGTCTCGTAGGTATGTCGAGATGCTTGCTAAAGAACTCGGCCGGGCCGTCTCCCATATCAACGGCCGAAGCCTCGGTTCCGAAGACGCTCACTTGGTATGAGGGCGCGTCCAGACATGACAGCGGCGATGGTGTGAGAGGGATAGTAATTGAAGACTCCGGCTTGGCCAACGTGTGCTTGATGGTCAGCTCCGACCAATCATCATTGATTGATGGCTGGAAGAGTGCCAGTTTATACACCCGCTTGACGGTAAGGTGCTCGGCCAGATGAGGCCGTATGGTCGGGTGGCTCTTGGGATCCCTAACAAGGATATACTGCCGGTCAAAGCGAAAGCCCTCACTCGTAATTTCTGCAATCGACACTTCAATTGGCAAGAGTGACTTGACAGGATAGATGAACAGCTAAAGAATCGTGCTGTTAGCAAGCACCATGTGGCTTATAGGACTGCGGGCCATAGGGAGGGCAAGACAGAGATGGCCAGACCCTGGGCCGTAAGTCTTGAGATAAGACAGTGATGGAACGGGATCGGTACCCTTTGGATTTTCATCTTGCTACTTGGTTGCGGTCCGTGACAGTTGCCGCATCTATATGTTGTTTTGCGCTCAGCATCGCTCGGCGCTCGGCCTCATCACCACTATTTTGGATAGCTCTCTCGTGTGTCTTGTGAAGCTAGATATCCGTCCACCGCGGCCGTCGATGGCGCTTCTCGTGGATCGGAAAAGGAGTGCACGGAGCGAGACGACGAGGTGCAGCTGCGAGGAACGAGCGGGAGAAGCAGAAGCCAGAAGCTCTAGCGGGCCATGAGCACTGGACATGTAGCGCTGGAATTCAATTGACGGGAGTTGTTCAAGATGGATGACCAACTGTGTGCTCATCGGCCGCCTGTCGCCGCGATGGCACGCTTTGCCGTGTCTGGGATAGCCTCAGCGAAGCCCGCTAGTCCCAACATGGGCATTGTCGGCATTCCGCTCACCTTCCAACTGGCCCTCGATCAACCCCAATACTGGACTTGAACTCTCATCAGCCCATTGAGCCACTCACGCGGGGCGCTCGGTGACTCGGCCCAGGGATTCTTTCATCGCTCACTCGCAACCACGCTCGTTCTGTATTAGGATCAAGGGAGCGAGCATCGAGAGTGCTTGACTGATCCGACGCAATGGACGTTTCCACCGTGCCGTGTACGCTCTGCAGGAAACGGCGGGTCAAGGTATGTACTGTGTCGTGTCGTGTCGTGTCTGTGCCATGGCATCTCCGTTCGATCGTCTCACGATATTCTATTCCCAGTGCGACAAGCGCTTGCCGGGCTGTGCGCGGTGTGAAAAGGCATCTCGCTCATGTCCGGGCTACAACCATCTACGCAGGTTCCTTGACGAGAGCCAAAACCTTCGCAAGAAGTTCTCCTCGGCTGGTGCCAGTCCGCAGGACAGTGGCATCGTCAAGTCCGTAGACTCACATCTTCCGACTGAGGCGCCTTCCATTGCTTCACCATATTCGGGCTCGCTTGATTCAGTCTTGCTACCCACGACAGCCTCTGGAAGCAGTGATGTTGCTCAAACCCAGGCAACAACTCCAATCCCGCCCGAGATTCAGCTTACGTCTCAAGATGATGCTCTGCAGGGATCTAGCTCTGGCCTGGATAGGGCTGGCCAAGGCAGCTTTTCTACTGACCAAGGGATTCATGACACGTCCTTTATCACGACTGAGAGCATCTCAGACTCAGACTTTGACTCCAGGTTCTTCGATATTGACCCCCAGATTTACTTTGCAGATGGAAACAACTGCTGCGGATTCATACCATCCCTCTCCTTGATAAATGATGCCAACGGCCCGCAAGGACCATCTCTCTCCTGGCTTAATGACGTCAATCTGGAAGGATATGGACAACCTGGATATGAAGTGGACACGGAGAGATCAGAAAGATCCGAAAAGCCAGGGACCGATTTTTCGTCTCCAATTCCAGATTCTTCAACCGAGGCCGACCACGAGACCGCATATCTGATCCGATATTTCGCTGAACGAATCAGCCCGTGCTTGGATGTCTTTGATATTGAGCGATTCTTTGGACATATTGTCCCCATCAAGGCCATACGAAGCCCTCTCTTACAAAACGCCTTGGCTGCCATTGCTGCAAAGCAATTTGGGAAGACGAAACGAGAGACGTACTCGTCAAATCATCAGACACCTGGTCGGTCGATGCTGGAGCAGTACTCGGAAGTGGCTCACATCGACTGGTTTTACAAAGCCGCAAGTTTCTATGACAAGGCCATCGGTCATATGATGAGATTGTTGCAAACACTACGTGACGGCAGCCCTGCTTCATCACCTGGAAGTACGCCATCATCGATGGACATGACGCTGAACCTTCATTCAGCAGTGTCGCCATCATTCAAGAGGCGCCGGATCGAAAGTAATCAGAATTCTCATAACGTTGTGGACGATCTTCTGGCGGCAATATCTGTGTTTCTTCTCTACGAATCACTCGATAATCGATTTGCAGAAGTCTCTAGGTATAGTGTCTGATTTTCATTTATTCGCTTTACCATAAAAGACTGACTGGCTAATGGTGTCTTGAATTAGGCACATGTCTGGCGCTCAATATCTGCTTACGTTCAACTTGAAGCAAATCTTTGAAAACACCGAACATAATCCTCGCAACGGAGCATACGGTCTAAGTACTCGAAGAGCCTGGCAAGCGTCTTTCTGGAACATTGTCTGTATCGATTGGGTTACATCCTACACCGGAGAGACCCCGCCGCGCATTGATATAGAGAACCTCGAGTTATGGAAAGCTGCAGGGTTACCAATGTGTGTCGTCAGTGGTGTTCACCTACCGGTTTCCCTTTGCGGTGATGAAACTTCAGGCCACCAATTGCAAATGACTGAAACGGTGGCCTGCAGAAGCTTGATATGGGTCATATTAAAGACGCTTGCGTTCGTGGCTGCTGAAAAAAGCGGCAGCAAAATTCCAGACAGCAGCTCTCTAGATGCTGGTAAGACAAATGGAAGCCCACTCCATAAACTTCACAGCTGGGATGACATCTCGCAACATCTCGACAACTGGTGTGCTGCGTTACCAGACACCTTTGAGCCTTGTGCGAGGATAGCACAACGATACAATAATATCCCCACGCCTTCGGACACCATGCCGCCGAGGTCAGAATTTCAAAGTGCGTTCCAGGAGCTCTTCTACGCCAATGCCATGTGCGCAACGGCTGCGGTCTTGTACCATTTTGTGCAGCTTCTCCTCTTACTCCACAAACCTCTGAATCAAAAGCTGTCAGAGTCACATCCGGAGTTTGTGGCCAAACGCCTCAACGCATATCGCCAACTGTCGGCTCAGATCGAAGGACATGCCAATGAGATATGCGCAATATCACTGGGACGGCCAGATGACCCTGTTCGAATGCACATGGTACAGCCTTTGTATATAGCAGGGCTTTGCTTTGAGGCACACGAACAGAGGACAGCGTTGGCCCAGCTCCTAGCGACTATACAGCGGGAGACTGGGTATTCAACCACGGAGAGAGTTGCAAATCTGCAGCAGCAATGGGGATGGGGTACTACTCCGCCGGCACTTGATGTGATGATGTGATGTAAAAACAAGCTACATATACTTGGAGCATGAATAAACGATTCACGTATAGATGCACAAACTCATGAGAACTTGTAACATGATCAACCACAGGTGAAGGCCTGATTCCGAATGAACCAACTTGGTATATAACGTAATATGACCAAAGGCTGGGGCGTAGCCTTCCTCTGACCTAGCTGTTGCAGCTTTACTGAACCTCTTGATAATAAATATAACCTCCACAACGTAATATGACAATAATCCCAAATACGTCAATTAATTGGATTATCTCTATCGCTGCGTACTCGTAGTGATGATGACTCAACCTGAATCTCATCTTCGCTCAGTACGTGTGCAGTAGACACCTGCTGTTGGCGCTTTACCAGATATGGCAATTCCCAGCGAACTGCTAAGTCTCAGTCTTACCGTTGATTACAAAGCCATGGAGAAGGCGAGTTGTATGCTCCCCGATTGGAAGCAGATAGGTGCTTACATTATCCAATCAAGGTGCCAATAGCATGTTCAATAGATCTGTAGGATGGTATCTGTCTCCTAGCATCATGGGTATTACTGGATCTTCAGTAATCTTGATTCACTACACAGCCAGCGTATGAGTGCCGTCTGGATGAAGTTCAATTTAAACAACACATGTATTTATTCCGAGAAACTACTATGAGTGGCATTCTACGGAGAGTAATCCTGAAAGCTATAAGCCAGTAAAGGGAAACACCGGATATGGTGAAGAATAGTGTCCAGCATTGTTTTCACGAGGATTTCGCTTACTTGCATGCTATGCATAGGTACGGTCACTTGCACAAGCCGCCACAGATGAGATGAACGACCTCGAGAACCGGCAATAACACTAATCCTAATCTAGCCAGACAGCGACCCTGATTATGTAACTCCCCGCCATGCTGTGGCTTTGCGGCAACCTCGTGCCGGCGCCCAGTAGGCGCACGGGATCCCGTGCGTTTATTTCGCATAGGATCCTGTGTAATTAGGTCAGTAATATAGGGCCGCTGTTTACTAATTTTATATATACTACTTTATTTACACATAAAGGTACTTCTGCTGTATTATAAATAGCTTTAATTTACACACACTACTTTATCCCTTATAGCCTTTATTATCTCTTTCCCTTTTACTAAGAGCTTAATATTAAATATTATATTTAGTTTAGTAGTTATAGGAGTAGTAGCTTTTAATTACTAAATTAAGCTATATATAACTACTATTATATATAAAATATTTAATAAAATAGTAAACGTATTAACGCTATACTATAGTAAGATATTAACTTTTTTTTTATTTTATTAACTTAGTATTATTAAATTTAGGTAACTAGGTTAATATATTAATTTAGCTTATAGTATTAAGTAATTAAGATAGTTACTTTTTTTTTACTATATTATAAAGTATTTTTATATATAATAATATCCTTAGTTTTACTACTTTAATAAATTAACTTTACTTATTATAAGTATTTAAATAAAAAAGCTCTTAAGGTTAGTTATTTAATTTATATAAGATATACTTTTTTAAGCTTTTTAAGCTTTTTAAGCTTTTTAAGCTTTTTAAGCTACTATTATAATACCTTTAATAATATTAAAAATATACTAGGAAAATATAATATTACTTATTTTACTTTATAATTATTATCTCCACTACCCTTAACTTTAAATTAAATTTATAATATTAAAAAGTTAAATATAAATAAAACTGTGAAATAAGCTATATAGCTATAGTAAAGGAGTAGCTGTAAAAGGGAATAAAATAATATAATAAATAGTTATATATTACTTAAAAGAAAGTATATACTTAGGCTTAAAAAATTAAATAATAATACCCTTAATATTTTCTTTTATTACTTTTTACTACTTAGCTCTGTGTTTATATAGTAGCTATATATTTACTACTTTATAATATAATTAAAATATATAATTATATTATAAATATATAGTTAAAAGGTATTAAGTATTAAGTAAATATATATATTAAATTAATATAAAAAGTATAAGTTTTTACTTTTTTTACTTTTTTTACTTTTTTTATTTTTTTTATTTTTTTTTCCTAAATTATTATATTTATTATTATTATTAATAATATTATTATACCTTCTAAAACTAATAATAAAAACAAAGGCAAGGGCAAAAGTAAGGGCAAGGGTAAAGCTTTTACTAATAATATAATTTATTTCCTTTTACTTTTTTTATTTTTATTTACTTTTTACTAACTTATTTCTTAAGAAAGTTAAAAAATAAACTACTATTATAAGCTTTAAGATATAAAAGTATACCTACTACGCCTCCTTCTCCTTAATTAAAAGATTTATTATATAAGAAGTATATTTAAAGTATAATTATAAGTAAGATTATCTTTTTTAATTAATATATAAATTTAGATAGCTGCGCTAGTTAATACTAGCTATATACTAATAATAATTATACCTACTTTAATTAATATACTTTAGTCCCTTTTACTTTATATTACTTTTAGTTAATTATACTATAGTTATCCCTTAATAATATCTTTTATATAAAAAATAGCTTATACTATTATAAAAAGTAATAAAAAAGTAATAGATTAATACTACGTAGCTTTACGCCTATTACTTTAGATAATTAAAGATAATAATAAAGTACTTAAACCTTTAAAAAAAAATAAGAATAATAATAATAATAATAATAATAGAATAGTTATTTATAAGCAAGCTTATAAAGCTTAAAAAACTATTACTAAATATATCTTTAACTAATAAAAGCTAGTAATAAGAAAAAAGATAATATTACTGCTAGTATTACTTTATTATTTTATTATATTAATTATATTTTATATTACCCCTTCTTCTCTTTACCTCTTTAAGTTTAAAAAAAGCTAAATCCTTTGTCTTTCTACTTAATAAGAAAAAGCTAAATTTCTTATTTTTTTACCTAAATAAAAAAAAGCTAAACCCTTTATTTTCTAACCTAGATAAAAAAAAGCTAAACCCTTTATTTTCTAACCTAGATAAAAAGCTAATCCTTTATTTCCCTAACTAAATAAGAAGAAACTAAATTATTATTACCTACTTAATTAAATTTAAAAAAATTTAAACTAAAGAGATAAAAGCTTTATAATTAAAGTTAGGTTATAATAGTTATTTATTATTATATAACCTTAGGGGATTTATTTATAAGTAACTAAAGATTTTACTATTATACTTAGCTTTACTAAAATAATAATTATATTTATAATCTTAGCTATTATATTATTTTCTTAAACTATATTACTATCTTTAACTCTATTAAATTAATAATTATATTAAAAAAAAAGTAAATTATAATATATTAATTAGTTATATTTAAAAACTATTTACTACCCCTGGCCCTACTAAGTTAATAAATATATTATTTAGGTAATTAATACTTATTTTTTAATCCCTTACTAATTACTTTTATTTTATAATTATATTTAGATAATTATTATTATTAAAACTTAGTTAATTTTATAGGTAAAATTAGTAAAAAGTAAACTATAGGTTTTACTACTTTTATTATTTACTTAGCTACTGCTTAATTAATTACTACTTTTTATTTATTTTTTTAATTAGCTATTAGTTAAGCTTTTACTACTACTAATAAAGCTTCCGCTATTGCTTATTAAGCTTTAGCTGTTACTTAAGGTACTACTACTTTTACTACTTTAGTTACTTAATTATTTATTACTTTTACTACTCTTTCTTCTTAAGTAACTGCTTAAGTAGCTATTACTTTTACTGCTTAAGCAGCTGCTGCTTTTACTACTTAAGTAGCTACTACTTTTACTATATTATTTTTATATTAGTCTTTATATTAATCTTTTTATTAATCTTTTTATTAATTTTTTTATAAAGTTTATTTTTTACTTTTTTTTTAAGAAAATTTATAAAAGCTAAGTTATACCTTTATAGCTTAGTAAAATATATTAGTAAAATAGTATTAGTAGTTATTATTATATTCTTTACTATACTTATTAGATTATTATTAAGTATTAAGCTTTAGAATATTATCCTTTTCCCCTAATATTTATTAAGACCTCCTAGGCTTTTTTTTTTACTATTTTTAGTTTTAGGAAATAGCTAGTATTTAAAAGTTAATAATAAATAATATAAATATTTAATTTACTTTACTCCTTAATTTTTTAATACTTTAGTTTTATACTTTTTTAATCTTTTATATTTTTTAAAAAATATATAAAATAGTTTTAAAAATAATATTAAAAATAGTATTATAGGTTATATATTCTAAGTAATACTATAGTAAATAAATATAATATTAAGTAACTTTATCTTAGCCCTTTTATATATAACAGCTAGGTTATTTTTAGATTTACGTTTATATATATTAAAGAACTTAGTTATTTTAATAATAAATTAATAATAATTATTAAATTTATAATAATTATAAAGCAGAAGATAAACTAATAGGAAATAGTAATAAGTTTTAATTAAAAAATATATATATTTATAAAATAGTAGTAGTAAAAAAAGGAGAAGTATTAATATAAATAAGTAATATTATAACCCTAGCTAGTATAAAATAGTAGTAAGATTATAAATAAGTATAAGAAGTTATATTTCCTTTTTACTTATATATAAAGTATTAATTTTTATATTACTTATTATTATAGCTAAGAATTTTCTTAATAATTATTTTCCTTTAGAGCAGTAGTTTAACTTATATAAAGAACTACTTAAGTTTATTAATACTTAGGTATAACCTTAAGGCTATATATTTATAATAAGTAAATTAAAAAAAGAAAAAAGTAAAAAACTTACTATTTTATATATTTATAATTAATTTTAATAAGCTCTAGATAAATCTAAAGAGTATAGTTAAAAAACTATAATATATTTAATTAGTTATTAATTTTTAGTTAATATATATAAGTCTCTTAATTATATAACTTAGACTATATAATATTACCTAGATTTATGCTTTAGGATATATAATTATCCGCTAAGTTTATATTTATTTATTTATCTAGTTTATTATAAGCTTAAG